GTCTCTTGGATCTCACTCACTAATTTAAAGTGAAGTTGATTCTTAAGCACAATAATACCATGATCATCAAATTGGTTTTGGAGAAAGTTATTCAGTTAAGTTCATGAAAGTGTTGTGAATTGATATATGTTAAATGACATTTAATAGGAGAAAATATAAATAAATAAAAAATAAATTTTAATCAGCAGCACCCCAGGCCAAATCAACGACCATAAATGGACGTTCATTAACGGATTCAAACGCTTTGAAAATATATTTCAGTTCTTCCTTTTCAATTCATATGTATATATATATATAGAATCTCACCATTCACTATTCATTCATTTCTCACTGCACTTCAACAAAACATGTATAATCACAAGGAAATTAGAAAAATAATATAAAATAACGTAGCTAGGCATCTTCGAGTTTAATCATGAATTCATCACTCTTTCTTCTTCCTCTAACCAAATAAGACCCATCGTCAAAAAAAATTGTAATCTTTTCCGCCTCCCCCATCACCTCCTTTCGAGCTATTTGTCCCACCATCATTCTTAGTATCGCGACTTCCATCACGGCTCGTACCGTTATCTTCATTTTCCTGGTTGCCCCTATCTCCTTTAATTTATGATCATTATATATGGTGTCTTGATCTCTAATCGCCTTACCTGCCCGATGCTTCTCGTATTTGCCGGAGCCGATCGACGCCACTTCCCTAGCCACTTTTCATAATCAAGAGCATTTTCAACGAGATCAATCAACGGCTTTTCCGGAATCATCACATGTGGGAACAAAATTATGCAGATCGTCTAATATTTTCTCACTAGATCTTTTTCCTGATTTTTGAAAAAGTACATTCTTTGATGGAGATACAAGAAAAGCGAGACCTCCCAAACTTTAGTAATTCTGTACTGATATGAAACAACTTTTGAAGCTCGTACTTCAATACAAGAAAATATGCCCTTTCAGAAGATCTACCAATGTTAGACAACGTCGACCTTATTCCATCCAACTCCTCCATCAACGTTTTTCATCATCAAAACATTGAGTCCCATAGAACCCATTACACCTGCCATGAAATGAAAAGTACCACGGATGAAAAAATTTCTAATCATTACAATTAGGGTTTACGAAATCAAGCTACCATTCTTCTTGAAAAAAATTTGTTTAGATAAACACAATAATCAATTGAACACATAGGAAAGAAGAAATCAAGCAAAAAAATCACAATTATGTACAATTTTAAACACAATAAAAAAAGAAAGATATAAAAGAATCTAACGTGCGTTTTCAGAAATTCACGTCCGATACTCCATACTTCCCTTTCCAATTCCAAGTATAACACTGTGATTGAAGAAAAACGAGATTTGCGAGTTAAGAACAGGAGATTTGCGGCTGAAGGATTTCAATTGCCGAAAGAAATGCGTTCGCGAATTTTAAGAATTATAGTGGGTTTTAAGAAAGAGAAAAAATCAAAAAAGGGGCTTATGGTGTTGTTTTTTGGGGTTTAAAGCAGAAGCAGATATTTTCCCTCCAAAATAAAATAGAAATATTATTTTTTTTAAATTTTTTTAACAATTTTCTAATCGATATTAAATTTAGGGAAAATTACAATTTTCGTCCTCATACTTTACCCACTTTTTCAAAATTGTCCCTAAACATTTTGGAGTTACAATAGTAGTCCTTAATCATGCCATTTTTTGACAGAATTGGTCCGCCGTTAACTTTTGCAGCTAAGTTGGATGGAAAATGGCATGTGCGTCTCACATGCCTTCAATTTACAACACAACATGAAAAATGGACTTTCAACAACACGCATTGCGTCTTGTTAAAACATATTTTTTTTAATTATTATTTTTAATTAAAATGAAATAATAAAAAAAAAAACAAATATTATTAATCAGCGAAGGCCAAATCAACGACCAGAAATGGTCTATTCATTAACCGATTCAAACGCTTTGAAAATATATTTCAGTTCTTCTTTTTCAATTCACAGTCAACAGTCTCATCTCGTCATCTCTCTCTCTTTCTCTCTCTAGACTCTCTCTCTAGACTCTTGTCTATATATATACCATAGAATCTCACCATTCAATATTCATTCATTTCTCACTGCACTTCATCAAAACATAATCAGAAGAAAATAATAAATAAATAAATAAAAAATTAATGGCAGGTATGATGGCATCTTCGAGTTTAATCATGAATTTATCACTCTCTTCTTCTTCCTCTAATCAAATAAGACCCATCGTCAAAGCTGCCATTAATATACCCAGACGGGTCGCCAATATTTCTCTTCCGGGGCTCCGACCCGGTGGATTTGTAGCCGAAAACGATAATTTGCTCTACAGATCTACAGATAAACAGTTGAGCCCTATCAAAATAATCAGTACGGTCAACAGATCCGACCCGAAGAATAACCCGGACCCGGTTCTGATGGCGAAGCTGTACGCTGTTTTGGAGGCAGTTTCGGACAGGGTTGAGATGCACACGAATATCGGAGACCAGAGAACCAACTGGAACAGCCTCCTTCTGACATCGATCAACGCCCTCACACTCGCCGCCGCCACCATGGTGGGTGTCGCCGCCGTCAGCGGCGGCGGCGCTCCCGCCGCCGCGCTGAAGCTTTCTTCCACCGTTTTGTACGTGGCGGCGACGGGTATGCTGTCGATCGTGAATAAAATCCAGCCGTCTCAGCTTGCGGAGGAGCAGAGAAACGCCGCCAGGCTGTTCAAGCAGCTCCGGAGTCAAATCCAGACTTGTATATCGGTCGGAAATGTGACGGCGGCTGATGTGAAGGAGATGACGGACAAGGTGTTGGCTCTGGACAAGGCGTACCCGCTTCCGCTCCTCGGAGTAATGCTGGAGAAGTTTCCGGCGAAGGTGGAGCCCGCGGTTTGGTGGCCGGAGCAAGGGAGGAAACAGTACGGCAAAGGGAATAATAATAATAATAACAATAATAATAAGGGTTACAATGGCTGGAACGGAAATTTGGAGAAGGAGATGAGAGAAATAGTCAACGTTCTGAAAATAAAAGACGAAGAAGATTACATAAAACTGAGTACAAAAGCACTGAATCTGAACAAGATGCTCGCCGTCGCCGGCCCGGTTCTGACGGGTATGGCCGCCGTGGGGAGTGCTCTCGTCGGGTCGCATTCGGTCGGGGGCTGCGCGGTGGTGGTGGGAGTTCTGGGCGGCGCGTTGGCGAGTGTGGTGAACACGCTTGAGCACGGCGGTCAGGTGGGGATGGTGTTCGAGATGTACCGGTGCAACGCCGGATTCTTTAAGCTGATGGAGGAGACGATCGAGTCGAACTTGATGGAAGCTGATCTGGAGAAGAGAGAGAACGGAGAGGTGTTTGAAATGAAGGTGGCGTTGCAGCTGGGGCGGAGCTTGTCGCAGCTCAGGGATCTTGCGGCGGCGGACGACATCGACGAGTTTGCAAGCAAGCTTTTCTAATGGATGAAATTAATGAACAGCATTAACATTTTAATTTCCCGACAAATTATTTAATTAGTTAATGTAGAGTTAGTTTAACTTTAGTTTGTGTAAATTTAGTGCCACGTATACATGTCTATATATCATGCATAAACCAATTCTTTTATTCAATTTAAAATCAAATATCTTGAGAAATTAATATCAATCATCAATTGATTTCATATTTGATCTGTGTTTTGCTGTCGTTGTCGATAATTGATATTAATAATTAATTATTTTTTCATAGTTGGTAGCAATATTCTATTTATTGGTTTGAATATTAAAGTGTAACGACTAACTTGGTTCAATTATTCAAAAAAAAAAAAAAAAAAGCTTGGTTCAATTATTAAATCTGTAAGATATTTGGGTGATGGGCCTAGGAAGAAATTTTATTTTTTCCTGGGGGAATTGGCCCAATAAGACTAATTCCACATATAAATATGTAGATCTTATTATAAGATGAACAACATTAGATGGCATGATTTGAAAATTTATGAGATATTAAAGTGTCAAACTAATAATAATGAATTCAATGAAGAATTTCAAATCCATATATAATAATAAATTTATCGAACTTGATTGAGTTAATCTATTTTGTAATGAATATACGCTTGATTTGCATTCATCACTGCAATATAATTAGTGAGTAATGTATCTGTTTGAGCGCATGCATATATACAGTATATGTATTGATTACATTTTATACTGTCACGGAATTATCATATGAGAAATGGGATTAGGGCTTACAAATATGCTAAGAGTATAATCAAAAGCAAAGGGGAAAATAGAGATATGCAAACTCAGTTTCAACACATGGAACTGTAATTGGTTAATCCGCGGCTCAATTTTCTATTGTCATTTTCTCGTTCAGATAATCACTAGCGGTGGCAGCAACAACCCAACATACAAAATACCTTTTTCCGAAACATTTTTTAAACCATAATCACTCATATTAGGCCAACTCACTCACCCCAGCTCCTAACTCACTAGATTTGAACTTACTCTCTTGTTTCCATATTCAAAAGTGGATCTCACTCTCACCATAGAAGGATGGAGATCTAGAACTCGAAGGAGATTCAAATTTGTAGGTGTCTCTATTCTCTCTCTCTCTGAATGGTTTACTATATAGATGAAAAAGTTATAAGATTATCTAGTACAACCATCGTCATAGTTAAACGGGTATGCCGCCGAAAAATACCAAAGAGATTACCTCGAATGAATGGTTCAGAGAGTTGAAAGTTAACGATCAAGATCAAAAGATCATAAATGGCTCTCAAGTGACGAGTGGTCCTTGTGTTGTTTGAGCCGAACGTGTTCGACCTTCTTAAGTAGAGATCGGGTTAATGGTGAATTGGTGACTGAATTCTTGATTAATTCAGGTTTGAGCCAAAATCCAACGGTAATGAGTCAAATATAATTTAATATATACATTCCATTAATTTGCAACTATAGTTGTTGCCGACAAGTGAAGAGTAAATAGACTGGGATTATTTACCTTCTTTTTCCATAATGATGACTTGTAATTAATTTATTCATAATTCAAGGATACAATACAATCTAATTTTGCAATGTAGCCCTTAATATTGATTCAAATTCTAATTTTGCAATGAATCCCTTAATATTTATTCATAAACCACATTGATTTTATTTTTATTTTAGACTGTTAGTTCACAAATCTACGACGTGTTTAATAATGGATATTATTTGCGGCATGTCGGTAAAACATAGAGGGGTCAATGTGCAAATAAAAATAAGTAGAAGTACCAATTGCCAAATTCTGTGAGAAAACAAAACCTTCAAAAAATAGAACTGTGGGAGGCCCCGTTTGGATCCGACGGAAATAAAAACCCCCGATTGGCCAATCTCCGTTTTCAATTCTTCTTTTCTCTCTCTCTCTCTCTCTCTCTCTCTCTCTCTCTATTCTTCCCACATACCTCCTCACCCACCACCTCCGACCCGTTTAAATCTCCGTCGCCGCCGCGGCGGAAAATCAAAAAAAAAAGGAAGGAAGGAAGAAAAATGATCCAGTTACTATTCGCCTTGATTTTCACGGAGATGGCGCTGATCGTGGTGTTCGTGTTCAAAACTCCGGTGAGAAAGCTGGTGATTATGGGGCTGGATCGGGTGAAGCGCGGCCGTGGACCAATTGTGGTGAAGACGGTGGCGGGGACAGTGTTTGTGGTGATGATGGCGACCGTGTACAATGTGGTGAAGATCCAGAGGCGTTGGATCCAAGATGTAGAAGTCAACCCTACCGATCAGGTTCTCCTTGCTAAGCACCTTCTCGAAGCTTCTCTCATGGGTAGCCTCTCTTCAAATTCTCACCTCCTTGTATCTCTACTTTTTCTCTCTTTAATTCTGAAGCGCGATTTGCAGTATATTATTGGTGTTTTGTTAGAGTAATTGCTTGGTTTATTTTAATGTATTATTCGTCGTATCAGAATCAGAGACGGCATTGAAGCTGCACCAGCTTATTTTTAATGAGTATAGATTGAATTCTTATATCACTCGAATTTTTTAATGCTTCATTTTAAGTGATTTTTCAGATTCGATTCTGTCGATTTTCCTTTTATTTTGTGTTAATTCTCTACTGGTGAGCTAATAATGTTTTGCAACGTTAATAAATGTTGAAAAAAGTAGTCCTATATCTCTTTTGTGAAGAACACTATATAAATGGAGGTATGGTTGTATGTGATATTTTTGTATCTATGTTCACAAGGTACATTCTTCTATTTTTACGAGGTTTTGGAAATATTGTTAGATTGTGAATTTCAGAAGTCTCGTCACTAACGGGGGATCTTTTAGTAGACAACATCCAACGGAAAACAATCAATTGTAATCGGATGAGGGGTGCTATGTGAAGATGAATGGACTCCACTTTTTGCTGAATTTTATATTGTTGTCCCCTTTGGCAAATTTTTTGTTGACTACACTCTACAGTCATGTAAAATTTTCAATCATTTTTATGCAGGATTTTCTCTATTCCTTGCACTGATGATTGACAGACTGCATCACTATATCCGAGAACTGCGGATTCGGAGGAAGAATATGGAAGCTGTGAAGAAACAGAACCGAATATTCGAGGATGGTAAGCCTCTTGAAATCAAGCTGTTGGAGGAAGAGAAGATTTCGCTACGTGGGAGGATTAAGCAACTCGAGGCTCAGCTTGAAGATAAGACGACTTCACTGCACGACAGGATTAACCAGCTCGGTACTCAGCTTGAAGAAAAGACTAAAGAAGCAAGCAGTTCAGAAACCAATGCAATCGCTCTAAAAAAACAATCGGAAGGGTTTCTTCTTGAATATGACAGGTTGCTAGAAGAAAACCAGCACCTCAGAAGCCAATTGCAAACACTAGATCGGAAATTATCATACTCCGATAGCAAGAAAGTTACGTAAGAGGGGAACTCTTATAGTTTGTTTTTTTAATAGTTCTGGAGTTGTGTTTTTTGTAGTTACACCATAGTAGTTTCGAGGATAACCATCCGTTTTTCGGAGAGAAAAAAAAAATTAGAAAAATGAAATTCGATTCTGTTCGCTTTTCTAACTCAGACAAGATAGTCTATATGATCATCAACTTATTCCAGTTTTCGATTCAGTGGCTGATTCATTCGTAAAAGCAATCACTAATTGGCCTTTATCAGCAGTAGAAGGGGGTTGCAGTAATTAGTGCAAATGCAAAAGCAGCTTTACAGTACTGTATTTTGTTTGTTAATATTTTCAAGATTTAATTATTCGGAACAGTAGCTCCAGCAAAACTCAGAGAAGGGTCGTTTTCCGGCAGAAGCATGTCGGTATTAGCAGCCGTAAAAACCATCATTCCAAGAAAAACGAGCACCGATAACGCAGATAGTACAAGCGTCATCAGCATAGGTACAACACCCCCCTTCACCTCTTGTGCATATTCTGCCGAGGCCAGAGCGAGAAATGTTAGGGGGAATGAATAACCCCACCACGCTATATCAAACCTCTTTATCGATTTCTTGAACATCCCCGGTCGACAAATCTGAATACAATCGTAATTAGGTAAAAAAGAAAAATTAGAGGGACTTAATTAACTATGAATGGTTTCTTGAAATATGAACTTACCAATGATGTGAAAAGGAAGAGAGACAGAAAATACAGCATTTTGCATGGAACCGCAAAATCGCCGGTGATGGAGCTCCACCCTAAACTGGCGGCACTCGGTGCCGCCACGAACAAGAAGAAGTCGGGGCGGAGGATCGCCGGAAAACGATTTGCACCGGATAAACGCTGATAGAGTGTGATGAAAACCACCAAGTAGTGAGTCAAACCGAGTGCAAATAAGCTGACGGCGCTCTCCTTCCACCCCATGCGGGCGGCAGCCCACGAGCCAACAAAGTTACCCATCACCGACAATTGGCTGGTTGGATTTGCAGCCACGGACAAGAACCTTTTCTCGGTGGTAAACCACTGCCCGTAAATTTTAATATCAAGAACCAAAATCGGAACCACGAAAATCCACCAAAGATTCTCGTGGCTGAAATTCATCAAGCGCCCACCAAAGGGCATTGCTTGAAGCAGAAGCAGCCACGAAATCCACGGAATGAAGAGGAAGTTTACGCCCACATGGTGCGAGAACTCTTTTTTCACCAACGTGAAGTGGAATAAGCACTTCAACGCATAGAGAAAGGAGAGTAGAACCAGTGTGCAGAGGGAGAGCCACCAGAGGAGAAGGAAAGCTACAGAGGGAATATCAGTATTGTGGGTGTGGAATAATCGATTGATAGTTTGAGTTTCGTTTACGTGTTTGCTTAGTGTTGTCCACAGCAAAACCTGGCTACCGAAAGAGATGCATATTCTGAAATAGCCTGCATGGAATCTGGTTAAAAGGATAGAAGAAACCGGAGATGCTTCTTTCGCAATAATATTATTTTGTGGATTGTGAATAACAATGTCGATCGGAGTTTCAGGCACTTGCTCCGCCATGGAAACGATAATTAAAACGAAAAAAAAGGGGTTCGTTTTATGTGTATATTTGTATTATACGTGCTAGTACCGCTTATATAACAAAAATGGAAAACTTATAAGATAGTTTATATTTCATTGGTTAGGCAGAGCCCTTTATATTTGATGGAAAAGTGTACGGGAAAGCGGTTATATTATATATTGTAAATGGTGACATAAGAGAATTTGGTACATGCAAATTGGAATTGGATTTAGATAACGCACCTAAGATTTTGGTTACTCCGAAAGTGGATGACTAATTCAGTTTAGGTTTAATGGGATGCCACTAACAAACCCTTTTTTGGGTCGTAATATAACACGAGTGGTGGATTAATTGTACGTGCTACTAGCTACTCGATTTCCGGGCTGACTTATACACACAAGTGTAACATCATCGATTCATAGTGAAGTGCTAACTTTATAATACTTCAAAACTGAAAATTGACACAGAAAAGAACGCCAACTGAAAATCGTTGCACGCTTTCTCCTAATGCTATCACCTTACAATACCAGTGCTATAAAGGTATTTCATATATATTAGACACCCTATAATTGTAACAATTATCACACTCCTTACAAAGTCCATAATAGCAATAAAAACTACCAAAAGTGAAATTACCTTTTCGTCCCACGTTGTTTTATCTTCAATTCAAGAGGCTCCACCCATTTCTGTTTCTTTGTGAACGGGACAGCACTACCGTGTAACCTTGTCTGATATCCATTACGCGAAAATAATTAATGTTATTAGTCACTGTCCAAGAAACCAAAATTACTATTATAAAGTACTAATTAGGTAGACAGATTAATTAGAGATTAGATATAATAATCCCCAGCCTTACACTGGGAAATTAAGATCTTATTAAATAACATCCTGCCATAAGCTAAATTTATCATACGAAGGGTAAACGGAAAGCATATATTAACATAACTCGTTCATACAACACCCTTAAAAGTAATTATCCGACCACAATGTTTGCTCAAAGATAAAACATAAACAACGATATTAACATTAAGGAGGTGTGGAGCTGTCTACGCAGCTTCAGCAAACCCAACTCTCAGCTTCCCGGAATCAAAGACGGTGTGGTAGCGCCCCATGAACATATCTCCCAAAATCCTGCATTACACATTTTTACACAATTAAAAGTTGTGAGCCAAAACTAGCAACAAAAACGAACGATGGGCTGTCTGTACATATTCGAAAGTCGTGATAGAATATTATTACCAAAGTGGCCCACGTGGAGGAGGAATATCAAGACCCATGAAACCGCTAATGCACTGCGCAGCAGCACCCTCACCCACCTTCAGTATGTACTGTTTCCCGACAGAAAATCGCCATTATAAGCAAGAGAAAAAAAAACCCTGGAAAACAATTTAATTAAGCATTAAACTCATACCTCATGTGGTGAGAGATCAAAAATTTTTCCACCAATAGTGAACGAGACACTGGGCATAGAGGAAATGCTTCCACATTCCACAGCTGATTGTCCCATAGGACTAGGGAGCCGCTCACAAAGCTGCACGGTTTTTTAAGTCCAGGATTGGGTGAGAAAAGCAAAAATAGACTGCACCATATGCATTAGCTATTACACAAGAGTATACCTCGTTGACATAGTTCAAGATGCGATCTTGAGTTTGATTCCGTCTAAGTTGATTTTGCATCCAAACAACAGCCATCTCACAAGCAGAGCACATAGCGTCACCCAAGCCAGATGATCTGCCATCTTTTTCATCCACCACACTTTCGATGCCAGCACTAAACAGAGCCATGAAGAACCAAAATCAGAACACATTTACATTTATACAGTCCACTCAGAAGTCAAAACATTTTCTCAAGGGGTCTCGGTGGGGAGGGGGAATATCAAGGTAAAGTCATCACCTAACGCCACGAGTTCCATCAAATGTGCATAACCCAACTTGGGAGCATATCTTCTTTGGATGAGCCTGCGACATTCAATCAGAGGTCAAGATTGGATGAAAATGGATCGGACACCTCTAAAACTTGTTCAATATGTGAAACGAGAAAAACAAGGCACATAGGTCGAAACAATTTGATCGGTACCTCCGTCAAAAGAAGATCCATGATAGTTTGCCCATATTGTTCAACAACAGCCTTGCACTCTTGGCTAACGACTCCAACTGCTCCAATAGCATGATTAATCATCGTCACCACAGTCTGCAAACATAATAAGAAATGTAAACAAGCATTAAAGACAGTCATTTAGAAACGTACGAAGAATTCATCTTCGTAGGGTCTATCATCTTAATCAGCTCCCTTTAGGACAGCACAAAATATAGTGTGACGTGGACATTAGTGCATGCCTCGTGCTTAAATGCACTATGCCATAACAAACATAGTCGAAAGTTACAGCAAAAGTTGGTTTATTAATTCTGATGCATTATAAAAGAGAGAAAAAGAGAAATTGGTTGAAGATAACAAAACTAAGACAAGGCCAGAATATACCGTTGGACCGGCTAAGAGAGAAGTGCCAGAGTCTGCAATTGCCGAACATCCACCATTGCAGTATCCTAAGAAACACAATGATGTTAGACTAAATAAGTGTAAAGGAGAGAGATAATATCAGATTCGTCATGCCAATCACAAATTTTCTTTTCGTCTGATGTTATTCCTATTAGAGTAAAATAGTACAGCTTGAAGCATTGACAAGAGTGCGTACCACTTTCTTTACCATCAATGAGTACATCACCCATATCAAACTAAAACAGAAACATCCACAGAGTTAGATAGATACAGCACAATATTTTTAAAGATGTTTTAGTACCATGAATTCTCTGGATAACCTACCTGCCAATATCCTTTTTGTGTCACGGGAACATATGTATGCTTGCCCTTAAAATGATTTGGATCCATCCCACCAAAGACTAGTTCACCGCCCTCTTCTTCCTCCACATTCCGGTTGAGCCAAAATGAGAATACAGGTTCTTTAACGAGGCCTTGTTTAACCATATTGTACCTGAAAGAACATAAGTTGCAATTTTAAGTATCTTTGAAACCGACGAGCAAAGTTGTGCATGAAATAAATGTAAGTGCAGAAATGGCGTTTCCAGTCCCCTTGAAATAGCTTCCTTCTCAAATGCCAACAATCCCAACCACAAAGAAAACGGAATCCTATACTCAAGTAAATGGCAACAGATACCCAACCCACGCCTTTACAAAACCAAAAAAAGAAAAAAAGGAGTTCCAGATCATACCACACGGGGGTTGCATTTCCAACTGATATCTCTTTAAAACCAAGTCCCAATATGCCATCGAACTTGGCCACCAAGAATGTAACACTAGGTTCTCTTGTTGCCTCAATAAATTCCTGGCCAACCAAACATTCTTGTGTAAATCACCAGCCATTTACTAATTATAAAAAGCATTAATTTTGACTAAGAGTAAGTTGACAACCTGGCGCTTCACAACTATGTCACCAATTTTGACATTATCCTCACTGAAGAATCCAGAGATAGCCCCAGTTCCATAGCGAATAGCAGCAGTTTTTCCTGTACAAATAAAAAACATTCCATGCGAAGAGCAGGTCAAGTCACATCTCACGTCTGGGGGTAAAATAACAATGCTACTACTCGACATAAAGAAGTTCATAGAGCTCGATCTTTACCAATTACCAAAAAACGTAAAAAATGCAAACAAAGAAGAGATATCAGTACTTTTTACAAGCAATGATGAGTGCAGACACCTTAACCATGAAAGTCTAGAATAAATAATTTCATTTCAACAAGGCACATGCAAGCTTGAGCTTCAAGAGTTAGGAAATAAATACGAAGCAGATTAGACAGGGATAAAACGAACCATTCTTTTTATAAGTACTCGACTCGCTGGACTTGTACTTGGAGTGGAAGTAACAAGGGACCTGCACCAAGATTCGTCAGTTTAAAATATCAGATCAGATCCCTTTTCATCTAATCAAACTAGCAATTACCGCTCATTTTGATACTACATAAACCTGATAAAAAAAGTTTCCAAATTCAAGACTTACAGAAAAGTAACATTTCGTAGACGGAACCCACAGATTAGAGCTACCAGTATCAAAAATCACAGTGAATTTCTGCGGTGGAGTACCGACACCAATTTCTCCAAAATACTGAGCATCCATGTAGTTCTTCAATGCTACAATGTCAGTGTCTGAGCCATCCCCAAGTTTACCTCGGAAATTATACTTCCTAATTGAGGCCCTCAAATCCTTTGCCTCCTTCGACTCGAGCCTAGCAGCAAGCCCATTGTTATGATCCAATTTCAACTTTTTTAGTCCAATTCTGAGCAATCCATCATTTGACGCAGAAAACGCAAGTGAATATAACAGGCTTGAAAGGAGAAACGTTAGCGCAAAAGCTCCAAATCTGATTCCCATTTTTTCCTGCATCATTTCCATCATCATTTCAACACGTTAGTTTATTATCCCCCCACATTAATGAAAAGAAAAAATGCAACCAAACCATCAAAGCAAACACCAAGATCTCTCCACCCGCTCAGCTACAAATTTTGTTTGGCTTGCAGTTTTAATGGAAATCAACTGTCCAGAAACCTTGAAAAACATTTCAATATCTCCTAAATACACTGCACATTCCCCAGATCGAGAAATTATATTATCCCTATTTTCATAACTGCAAATCTATACTCCCGACCAGAGTGATTTCCTACTTCCCACAACTGACAATTGTTCGCCATTCCAACTTAAATCTCACAGGATGAGCAGTGAATCATACAATTGGGAAAGATGGATATTCACTGTTTCATTACCTATTTGACCAACTTACACAACCATGCAATCCAAATATTTAACCAATTTTTTTTTCCTCCGATTTCATTTTTTTGTTTCTCTTATCAACATGCAAAACAATCTCTAGTAAGAAAAGAATAAAGGAAGCTAAGACAACGCAAGGAGAAATTGAAACTACAAACCTCAGCAAATCAACACCAAAATCATAATATTCAACGATAAACCTCCATAAAATCCTTTATAAGAAACACATAATCACAATGAAAATAAAATCAAATCAAATCAAATCTCAAGCAAAAAAAAAAAAATAATAAATGCAAAATTAAAATCTGAACATAAAACCTCCAAAATTCTCGTCGGCTTTTTGATTTTGTTATTTTAACATAAAAGTTTGTACTACCAAAACAATTTACCCTCACATCTATAACACGAAATTATAAATTTTATCCAGAAATTCATTTAACAGGCAAATTATAGCAATAAATTCTCACCGGAATGCTATACGATCTTCAAGAGAAGCTGCGAGAGCAAAAACAGATGAAAGAGTGATAAATAAGAGAACCAACTTTCTGAGTTCAGCAGTGGTTTATCGGGTGAATCCTAACCGTTGAATAAATAAAAAGGCTTGTTATTAAAAGCCGTCGATGCTTGATATATAACTAATAGCTGTGTTTGGAAATATCGCAGCCCATGGGATTACTGTAGACCTCTAAATCTCAGGCGTCCGTTTCAAATCAACGGTAGAGGATTCACAACATAGGAGAATAAGTGGGTCGGTGATTACGACGCAGTGAGGGTGAGCATAAATGCAAACGTGTAACTGATTGCTTACGTGTCAGCAAAGTATGCGAGGTGGCTTCACACGCGACGTTGTGCTGTTTTGTATTTTTTAATTTCTATGAAAGGAAAATTAATGGAAACGACGGTTAGCTTAAGAAGTAAGCAAAATTAATAAATGTGTCATACAATTTTATTTACTGATTTAATAGTTGAATTTTTTGATAAGTTTTAAATATTTTTTCAATGAAGATTTTTTTCCTTTTTAATATGATAAAAGTTTGGTTTGGGTGTATAATTAGCAATAATATTTCAAATAAGGGGCAAAAATTGTTGAAATAAGCAACACAAAAGCCCAACAAGTTTTGAGCTGTTATCTAGTTTGGGCTACACTAGCTGATTTTAGGCCCATCTAAATATGGGCCAACCCATTTTTTAGTTGCCCAATTTCGTTTATATGAATTATCGTTGAAGTTGTAAAAAGCAGCATACTCTTCATTATAGGTGGTAAATGAGGTGAGCCGACTCGAAAAAAAGCTTGAACTTGAACTCGAGCTCGACAGGCCTACTAACAAAGCTAATAAAAAATAAAAATATACGGATGTCGGAAAAATTATATAATATCACTCGAATTTATTTCCACTAAGTCGATTTTCTTTAATTGCCTATTTCCTTTGTGAGAATTAATATTAAAAAAAAAAAAAACAATAAAAGGATATATAGTAGTAGGGGTCCACTCCCAAGTTTATAATGAATTTTATTTCACAAGTTGAAAACTGGACTGAAATAAATAAATAATAGTAAATAATTACAACATGAAGAAAAAAAAATGAAAGAATAGAAGGAGAAGAAAATGCAGCCATTGATGGATGGATTGCACATGGAGCCACGTGGAAGTCATAAAGTCCCAGGGAATGGTCAACGTACTTGTACGGTTGATATTGTACGGTGACGACCCACTATCTCACACGTTCGCCTTTTCTTTAATTTGTTTTCTACATACATACATACATACATAAATTAGTGGATGATGATTGGTCGGCGTTGGCACTTCCATTTCATGACCACGTTTGTGTGTGTGTGCACGTAATTCAATTAAACGTATCTCACTTATCCAATAAAAACCATTTTCTTTTTTATATGATAATTTCGATGCATATATAGATAGAAGATCCTACTTAGAATTTCATTTCTCACCATGTATTAGGATCGAATTTTTGATTTATTAATTTATCGAAGTTATACTATATAACGCATTCAAAAACGTAAATTGAACGACGTGAATCGTGATTATGTAACATTTGGAAAAAAATGAAAGGAAGTTGCCTAGAAGTCACATAAAAGTCTACTAAAACCAAATTAAAAAGTCTATCCAACTCATTACGTGTCAAACTACAATGGCCGGAGTTTTTGACCTCTCAATTGTTTGTTTGATTATTCAACACGACTCTCCAATTTTGTTTGTAGTTTGCACACCTCTCTTTTGTTGTTTTCCCTATTTGCAAAACGATAACCCAAGAAATTAATTGTCACAAGTAATCCAAATATATAACCATCCATCCTAATTTGTCTTCTTATGCATATAATTTAATATTATTTAGAAATAAAACAATAACAATGAATGTATATTTTGTTTGGTCCTAAACTTGGTTAATACAATTAAACGAAAAAAAAAAAACATATGAACACGTGTCAATTCTCCATATTGTACAACCAGAAATGAAGAAATAAAGAACAATCAGGCAGAAGAAAAAGTATCTTATACAAGATTTAATGAATAAACTGGTTTAACACTTTTTAATCTGTAATTAATTTAATTCCCCGGAAAATTGTTGCTATTACTTGTATTTACGTTAGGGTTGTTGGGTGTAGTAGACGACTGGTTGGCGTTATTCTGGTGGGACCCACCAATAATGGATGAGATTGCCGCGGCGAGGGCTGCCGTGAAGTTCGGATCCGAAGTTATCGCCGCCGTGGCAGCGCTCAGGCTGTCGGCGAAGGACTGCTGCGACGACTGTCCCTGCACTTGCGCAGCTTCACTACTGACGGCCCGAGACATTTGCAGACCGGAAAACTTGGATTGATTATAAAGACCTTGCCCGAAACCCTGAGGAGCCGCCGGCGTTTGGACGGCGCCGGCAAAGTTTTGAGGAAACGGGAGCTGGAACTGCACCGGCGGTGGTCTTTGATACTGCAACGGGGTTGGTGTCTGTGTGAGGTCGAGAGTGACGGTGGGGAAAGGAGCAGAAGCTGAGATGGTGGCCATGTTCGACGAACATGGGAGAATTGTTCTGGCCAGAAAATTAGGGTTCATCAACCCGTCGGCGCTTGGCATGGAGCCGGAGAGAAGCATGCTGGCTGCGGCGGAGGTGGTGGACGCCATCGCCATGGCCGCCGGAGGCAGCGGGTGGTTGTGCGTACCTTCGTAGGTAGTGATCAGAATCGTACGGTCATCGGCGCACCTCTGAACCTGTTTCCGCACCGGACATCCGACGGCCATAGTGCACCGGTAATAAGCACGTGGGCACGGATTCCCTTTCGCCATTTTTTGTCCGTACTTTCTCCATTGGCACCCGTCGGAAATCTAACGGAATTAATCACCACAAGATAATTAGACCTTCATATTATAGATAACTAAAAGTAATTACTGTGTGATTAATTACTTAATTACCATGGGTGCTTCTGAACGTGCTCTAACGGAGACACGTGCTTTCCGCATAGTTGCATCGGCGGTTTGTTCGACGGGTTTCGCCGGATTATCCAATTTGGGAGTTTTATTCCGATGCCAGCTGTCAGATTCCGGGCTCTCGTCACGGCCAATCCTCTTATTCCTCGATAATTCCATGTTGTTATTCTGAGGTGAACCGGAAATCGTTCTTTCTTCCGATAACGAGTTCGATTGTTCCTCCGTCATGAGGTCGTCGCCGCAGCCGCCGACGCCCAAGTCCAATAACTGCCTTGGAACTATCGCTAATTTCTTTTCTTCAGATTTTCTTTCAACAATCTGTTAAATAAAAAACATACCAGTTAATACAGATTTAATATAATATCATCGTAAGTATAATTAATAATAAATATTAATTACCTGATTTTGTTTGGTGCTATCAGTAGTTGAATTTTGCTGGTGCTGCATCAATGCCATAAAATGCATCTGTAGTGCTGAGTAATTTTCGTTGACCTGAGTCAGCATTCCTTTCAATCTTTGATTTTCAGTGTTCATTCTTTCCAGTTCAACTTGAAGATGTGCCAGCTAATTAATTATCAATTAACAACAACTTAATTAAAATCAAATTCTCAATAAATTAAATAAATAAATCACTCTTAACTAATTTGTAATTTAGTAATTAATTACCTCAATTTTGGCTCTCTTATCTTCAACATCGTAGGAAACCCCATCATCCACCGTTGATTCGTCGCTTCCGGTATTCGCAGTCACCAGTTGCAAACCAGTCTACACAAGATAATTAAACAACAAATTCAGTAATTAGATAATTCCACTAATCACTATTAATTAACGACGCAATTAATTAAACAACAAATTCATATGAAATGAAATGAAATGAAACGAAACTCACGTTGACGTTAAATTCTCTGCAGGCGGCGGACGTCTCAGCGTGTGAACTTTCCGTCTTGACAGTTGGCTTATTCCTCTCCGCGAAAAAGTCCACTTCGCCGCGCGGCGGCGATGACGCGGCGGCGCCGCCGTCGTCGTCTTCCCTAACCCTCGAATTCACCGGAAACATAATCAAACCGCTGCTAGTAGTACCACTCCGATGATGATGATGATGATCTCCAAAAACCTGCTTGTTTCCAAAAAATCCAACTTGATCGGCGCTGTTATCTAGGGCTAGACCCCATCCTCTTTCCATAAATAAATCTACGAATTCAAGTATTCGATCAGTTATTTTTTTTTTTCTAGAAATGGGGATCGAAGAGAGGAAATTAATTAATTACCAATAATGTGAGAAACTGAGAAGTCTTTTTGCAAGTACAACGAACAAGCCTATATAGAAGGATTGGGTGGGGGTGGGGGTAGGGTAGGGGGGGGGGGTGACTGAAAATATTGACGTTGGACCAGAAAAATATGTGGGGAAGGAGTTATGGTTTAGAGTGTGTGAAAAGAAGGAGGGGGGATTCGATAAATATGCGTAAGGTGGTGCGTCACGGTTGGGGTGTGGGGACCACATCGAAGACTTGTTGTACATAAATATAAATTTCGTGAGAAGAGAGAAGAAAGAAAGAGGTTTCGTCAAGGACTCGGTTTGACTCATTCGTGTAATATATATTGATTTTTTTTTCTTTTCTTTATTAATTAATAATAATTTAGAAAAGCCCATAATAATAATAATAGTAATAAATATTACGAATCCACCGGCCCGAGGAATGCGGCGCCTTACACGTGATGAAATTGAAAAGGTGAAGAAGGGAGGAGAAAGTCTACGAGTTTGACGGCCTGATCTATTACGAGTGACTGACGACCGGGTGATGTGCGGTGTGGATCCGTTCAGATCTATTCATCTTCTCCTATTTATTTTCCATTTTTTTATTAACCGAATTTCCTTTTTCCTATTTTTTTTTCACACTATTTTATAACACTCGTCTCAATTTGTTTATGAAAGTTGACTCAAATTAAGTGGCTTAGACTCATGAAAATATATTTTAAATATAAATATTTGGAAAACATTCATCAGAATGAAATGCACGTAATTTATTGTTTGTAACTCCAAGCATCCTCTTGAATTCTCTAAGTTCACTTACATTGCCAACTTCTTTTACGATTCATATAGTGCTCGAATTCATACGAGTAATCAAGAAATGTAAGGAAGAAAACTTGGATCGTGATTTTGAACTTACTTTACGAGAAACCATTATACTTTTATTTTCAAAAACCATGTTGTTCAATTCTAAATGCAATCTAATATGTTAATTAGGATTAGACTCTTTGGTGAACAATGTTGAACAATGAGAACCATTGTTACTTACTACATATGGCTATTTTTTAAATCGAGCTCCTCGTACATAAATATAGATTTTGTTAACTTATTGTGATTTATGTTTATTCTTTAATTTGCGAACTATTACACGAGAAAGATGCTTATTCATCATATTTCAGTGATTTCGAGTTTCTTGATCAATTTTAAAAAAAAAAAGATAATATAACAAATCCTACGAATATATATAAAATTCAACGTAGGTGGTATTATATTTGTGAAATTTTTGCATGAATAATGCAACAAGTGGCTTGTTTGGGTCCAATCTAGTTATCCCAAACCTAGGACCTAGGCTATAATATATATATGTATATGTGGTAAGTGTAAATTGGGCGTGCGGGTATGGTGGCAAGGCAAGAGGCTCGGGATAGGGGTTGAGCGTTGACTGTGATGGTCTAACTTGACCGGCCAACTGGTTAACTAACCGCGTCATTTGCTTAGGTTTCAAACCTTGGTTGGACTTTTTCGACCATCTATTTTCTCACCTCAACACACACTACTTTCTTTTTAATTTAGTAAAATTATAATTTAAATAGAAGCTAACAGAAATTGGAAATAAAATTAAAAATATACTAAAATTTGGTAATTGGTCGATGACTTTAGCAATTAGGGGTTTGAAAGATTTAATATATAATCCTCATAATAATCAACAACTCACATTATTATTATTGTGTCATTTATTTAATATATAATTTTTCTACATTTATTAATTACCTTGATTGACCGCTAGCCGTCTCATAAGTCATCACCACCAAAGACTTAGGGAAAATCGAATAGACAGTTGATTATTATTATTATTATTATTATTATTATTGAAAATTAAATAACATTAAAACACAAGTAAGAAAAAGGGGGCCTAATGAGAGAAAATGAGTGGGAAATTACTATAAGCTTTAATTAATTTGTAGAGAAATATAATAATTAAATATTAACATGATGAATGACTAATAAAACTGGGCCGGGGGCTGCTACTTTATATTTTTTTTTTGTCCAAAGTTTTATTCTTTGGGAGTGAGCTTTGAATACAATTTTACTTTGAAGGGAGATTTGTTTCTCACGTCGGCTCAACTAATTCAAATACATTTTCCACTGCACGTGTCGCACTAATTTTTCGTATATATAAAATTTAATTGTTACTTTTCTGAAGGATTAATGTTTTTCTTTTTCTCTAAATTAAATAGGAAAAAAAAATCAAATTTAATTCGCTGGAATAAAGAATAAAATAAATTAAAGATACGATGTCAAGAAAGCGGCGCTAATGTCAAATCAACGGTAAACAAAAAAATCAAAATCGGATTCAGAAGTTGCAGACAAAAAGAGAGTTGACTGAGATACGTAGAAAAATTGGGCATGGGGTTAGGTTTGATTGGACCATTACATTTACTCATTTTATTTACCATTAAAAAAAAAAAAAAAAAAAAAGCAAATCATTTATGAGGTTTTTAAACATAATATTTGTTAATTTATCTTAATTCGGAAATTAAATTAATATAGTATATATGTGCATTAAATATTAGTGTAGAAAAAATCGGTGAAAAGTGGTATTCCAAATTCATGGGCGATTTAAATAAAGTAAACTACGTGGATGGTTCCTGCATCACTAGTAGGGTCCAAAGTCTCAAACTTTTTCCTTTTTTTTTATTTTTTTATTTTTTGAAATTTATTTATTTTGTCAAACAACGTTTGCTGGAAACTTTACTAAATTGTACAAACTTTTCAATGTGATTTCCCCAATTTTCAAACTACTTTATGACCCAAGAAACCGATGGCTTTGATTTAACCTTTTATTGACTATTATCGCATGCAACTTGAGAGTACGTAGAACAAATTACAGAAGGATCAATCACTCTTTTTCACCTTATCTCATTTTCTAAATATTTTTCTTTATCTCTAAGTCATATACATATGTCCCACCTACTAATTATTCGTATTTATCTAAAGTGGCGGAGCCAGTGTACAACCAAGTATATTTTATCTCTAATATTCGAGGCAAAGACTTAATTTTAATATTTTATTTTTGAAGTTATAGGGTTAGATTTAAATGAGAAATATTGGCATCATAATTAATTAGGAAATTGATTAATTAATAGGGCCCCCATCATCCATGTGAGAAGGACTGCAACTCATTGACTTGGACTTAATTTCTTACACCTAACCTCTATATGGCTCTTATATTTGGACAAGGCAGCTAACATCACATGTTTGAAAAACTTGCTTTTGCTAGCTAAATGGATAAATATTTTAAATTCTTGAAAGAGTTGAGATTTATTTTGTGACTAATAGTTAATTAATAAAATTAAACAGGGGTCATTAGCAATACACCCCTCCTATAGATGAAAAATGGTGATATGTCCATACCATAATTATTCCTTTGTGAAAACCCCCTAGAATAAATATTTTCAATCTTACCCTTGCACTACCTATCACGTTTTTTTTTTATATATAATTATCAGTATTTTAAAATTCCTATTAATGAGGCACTTTCTCGCTAATTAATATTAATTAGCATAATTATCTCAATTATTTCTTTTTTTTCTCTTTCCATAACAAATATCTAATTTCCTAAAAAATTGCTTACAAATTCCTAAAAAATTGATATCAAATCAAAAAAAAAAAAAAACAAATTGAATTTTTTATTTTTATTTTTTATTATTTCGGATTTATTTCGTATTTTATTTATTTATTATTATTTTTTAATATGACTATAGTTGAATATGACTATACGTGACTATATCAACTGTAGTCATATTTTTTGTTTATATTGCAGGTTTTTATATTTTTAATTTAAAAATTCCGATTATATAGTGTGGTACAATCATGTTTACCATATTATATAAAACATCGAAGATTGCCTATTGTTTACGAAAACAATCATAGCAACATCCACACGAAAGATCACAATTTGAATGTTGTTACTACAAGTCAACTTGAAACGAAAATATAGAACATATTTGAATATGACTACAGTCATAAAAACAATTTTTATATTCGAATATGATTACAGTCACATTCAAACAATAGTCATATTCCAATATGACTATAGTCATGTAACTGCTGCTAGTTCAGATGTGGAGAAAAAAAATCAATCGAATATGACTATAATCATGGTACTGCTGCTAGTTTAGATTTGAAAGGAAAAAAATATCGGAAAATACACAGATAGATAGAGATAGAAATATAAAGAAAGAGCAGGAAGGGGAGTTGACGACAACGGTGGTGAACGAAAACGAGAGTAGGGCAGGCGGCGACGGTGGTGGCGGTGGCGCATAGATCTGGAAAAAAACCCAGAATATCGAACTTAATTTTCAATGTGATCGGATAAAGAAAATTTCATTCTTCTGTATGATAAACCGAGAAGCTTAGCTACCTCTTTTTTTTGAAAAAAACTCGTATTGGTTTTGAATCGCATCTTCCTTCTTCGAATTCGTGAGAATTAATTGGAACCACTCTTCCTCATCATCATATACTCTGTTATTCAAGATTAGCGTAACAAATAAGAAATTAATAAATCACTAATCGAGTAAATCAACAATAGTCATATTCGAACCAGAGTATAGTCACGTTACTGCTACTGCTTCAGATTTGGAGAGAAAACAAAATGAAAAAAAATCGAAAATAACCAAAGGGAGGATGGGAGAGGCGACGACAACGATGGTGAATGAAAGAGAGAATGAGGGAGACAACTATGGTATAAAATTAAGCACCTCACAAAATACAGTAAAAAACGTCAAAAACCATAACAAAACAAAATATGTAATTACATACATTCCAGTGCAATGTGACTACTCTGTAAATCGGTATAAAGCTGAAATCAGATACAACATATACAAGACGAACCCATAACAATCAGATCGGAACAAAACAACAATAACAAATTGCGAATCAAAAATATCATAATCCATAATCTTAATTACAAAAAAAAAAAAACACTTCCCATTCATGGCTCACCTTTTTCCTCGCAACTTTTCTTCAACACGAAGCACATAACGGTATATAGATGACGACTAGGCACTTCGATCTCGCCCAAAAATATACTTGATTGTGTCTGGTGAAGTCACGCTTGAATATTATGTAGAGGATATCACGTACCTCTACAAAAAAAGAAACGGTTATATGAACTTATTATTATTAAATATTTGATTTATTTTAATAACTGCTGTTAAGAGTAATTATGTCTTATCCTATCTTAATAATGGGGTCTCACTAATTAAGATTGGGATATGGGTGTGGGAAAAAATCTAAAAAGTCAAATGGGTTTTTTACATAATATTTTCCATTTTAGGGGATTGCATATTTCCCCAATTATACAGGCAATTAATACCATTTAATTCTGATTGGCTTGAAATTAGTATTTGAATCAGTGCAACTGTTGATTATTATACAATAGATAAGGAATACACGAAAATTTTAGGGCGTTTACTTTCCAGTATTATATATATGATGAGAACATATTGATTAATTGTGCAATTATGCGATTTTTTCATACGATTACCGGGTTTATCTTGACTAATATGTTCCGGTCCGCTAGCCCGAAATTCGCTTATTATTTCAATTGTAATGAATTATTTGATAATGACTAATCCATGTTTTTGGCTTCATTAGGAAAATTAGATATTAATTAATTATGTGAATTATGATCTAATGATGGCTGGATGTCTTTCACAGACAAAATTTCTTTTCACTGTCAACTTTGTACCATCTAGAAAAATGAAAACCCATAATTTAATTTTTTTGGCAGCATCACTAATTTGTCAACATTGTGACTCTCGTCATTTGAAATTTATATGTGTGTGTATGTACATGTTGTAAGGCTATATATTATCAAGTCAGTTTGTAAAACAAAAATAGAAAGAAAAAATAAATAAGAAATAAATATTGTGATAGTTAATGGGCTAAGTAGAGAACCAAGTAGTAGAATCCGAAATAGCTCAAGTCCGTTTAAATGGGCTGTTTTTTGCAGGACCCGATCCAACTAAAAGAGATGCAATAATATGGGCTGAGATTAAATCTAACAGAAGCCCTCATTTTAAATGTTTTATATTCCATCACACTCATTTTATAATTTATAATAAAAATATGAATGTTTTGATAATAATAATACTAATATTTCCTAATATATACATCCTTTAAGAACAATAGCACATGCATGTAATGTAAGTTGTTAATGTCCTAGGATCGAGTACTTGCATCCACAATGTGTGAATTTCAACTCAAATCAGTTGGTTCCATGTGTGCAGCACGTTCAAGTTCGTTGCCATAACATGCCGTTCAATCTCCATAATTTATACGCTCAACCAATCGTATCTGCCTGGGGCGAAGGATTTCGACTTTTGATGCAATGTAATTTCAAAAAAATCGTAAGCAAATCACGTAGTAGGACTCTCGTATATAATCTTTAGACAAAAAAATCTTCACCCAAATCTCTTTTAGCAGACATTGAAAAGCGCACCTGTAATTTTTGCTCCGGAAATCATGGGCTATAATCTATTAAGTCTACAAACCTATGAAACCTAACTACATTTTCCAATAACTGAAGAGACAATTAATTACAATAATGTAATTAGCATCGTATCCGAATTCCGATGCTGCTGCGCTGTAACAAAAGAAACGATCTTTCATATTTTTAATTACTACAATCATAATCAAGGATTAGTGGCACAATCCTCCAAGAAGCTTCTTAATGATTCACATAATCTCCTCTGATTTGGTGGGTGTGTCATCATTCATTCCTCTTTCATTATTTTCTCCTCTAAAGATACACTATTTCACACTAATCGAATTCGGTTGCATATATGATTTTTTTAAAGAGACAGATACTATGGAACATTTTTTTTTAAAGTGACTGTTATTATGAAACAGAACAAATTACTAAAAAAAATTCAGCCCGCAAGGAGCACCTAATTATAGAGGGTATATGTGTGTGTGTGTATATAAAATATATATTTAAATAAGCATAGCAGTTGACTTGTGAGCCACCATGATTGCCATTTGGCACTGCTCTATATATAAAGCCAATCTCCAACTCCCATTTTCCTTCACACTAGATATATAATTTTCTGTAACCCAAAACTCAAAAAACCAAATCCAAATCTGCACAAAAGCAAAAGGGAAGCCAGGAAATAAAAAGAAAGAGAATGATTTGCATGTATGTAGAATCCTATTTATCACCTTTCATCTTCGTTTTCTACTCATGTATTTGGATCCCATTCATCCAAACAACTCACTCGATCCGTCAAACTTTCACCTTACTTCTCAACCCACACGATCGCCCTGAAAAACCCGACACCGAAGAGACTCAATCTTGCCAGCTGGATCTCCCGGTTTCACGTTTTCAAGATTTAAAAATTTTCAGCAAGAACAGAGGGGCGGCCATGGATAATCAAGAAGAAGAAGAAGAGTGTTCGATTTGCTTGATGGAGTTTGAGAAGGAAGATTTAGTGAACAAAGTGCCGAGGTGCGGACACGTGTTCCACATGGAATGCATGGAGAAATGGCTAGATAGATGCCAATTCACATGCCCCTTGTGCAGGTCTTTGTTATTACATGCTAGTAATAAATCTTCACCATGCAAAATGGGGGCTTGTGTTTCTGCCCCCTTTTCATGATCCCCAGACGAAGATGTATATACCATCCTTCAACATTTTTTCTTTTCTTTTTTGTATTGCATGGTTGCTTATATCTCAATATCTAAAATTCCGACACTCGGATTTTGGTTTCAGCACTAGAATTCGGAACAAATTTTTGAAATATGAATGACCAAAAAGTCTTGAGGAACACATGAATCAGATCAATCAATCAGGAATAATAACCAGCAAATTATTTTTGCTTGCATAAAATACGAAAGATCTGAAGCAACTACCTACCAGCCTATTATGCTCGGAACAGAGTTGTGTGCATTGAGTTGGATCCGAGCAATTCCAACAATTACAGCACTTTGAATCCTGAAACCAAATAAAGCCAAAGGGAGAAATGTGATAATCTAAACTCTGGTGGGACCCGCAAGTAAATTATACGATTCCATACCCTTTTCTATTCCGAAGATTTCCTATATTTCCTCTTCATTGAGTGACTTAGCAAGTTTTCAACCCTAAAAACACCCTAATGATGCATCTAAATTACGTGACTTGCAATGTTTATATAAATCGGTCCACTCTTTTGGCTTATTTCCCTTCCAGCTAGAGATAATCTCAATGATTAACAAATAAATATGTATGTAAAAGTGAATATTCCAAACCTCACTAGGGTCGATACTGATTTTTTATGAGTGCAACCTACAAAAGATTAATGAGTCGGTCTCCGGAAAAATAGACGGCAAATTAAGAATACTCTTGACAGTTGCTATTGTTGAATACCTATACCTTCTTCAACTAAACTAACTCAATTGAAACACAAATTCATATCAACCATACTAGAATGGTACAAAAAATCTTGGCTCTTGGAATCGGATTCACTACCAAAGTCAATCATGAAACAAATTAGCAGAAAATAATACCTCATCGTAATCCAAAAATCTCTTCTGGGGGATCATAAACACGTTGATCGGGAAATATTTCCTCGAAATCTTGTTTGACTTTGTTCCTCAACAAGGGGTGCGGCAAAAGCCCCTTCAATAATATTCTAAACGGCAATTGATCTGGAAGTTCCGGAGACTTCTTCATATCTTCGTATACGTTCATGGCGTCTGCAGGAGAGCCATACTGTAAGAAACCACGAATAACTTCGGTGTATGTCTGAGAATCTGGGAATAAATCTTCCTTTCTCATATCTTCCCATAACTCCATTACATCATCCATTTTCTTGCGTCTAGCCAATGCAACAATCAAATCCTTGTACAAGAAAACATCGGGTCTGTACCAGTCTTGTTTCTGAATCACCCTAAACATCTGTTATAGAAAAAAAATTGAAATAGTAATAAGATTTTATTGTGTTATTACATGATTCACAGAGAAGACTGTAAGCTATTAAACAGTTGAAAAGGCAAGAAAATGATGGATTTTCTTGGAAAAAGCATTGACGAACTTGACTGGCAGTACCGATAGTCCGTTCGGCATCCAAATTCCGATGACTGTGTTTGCTAAAAACCAAAAGTTGGGCTGAATTTATGGAGATTTAATCGAATACCGTAGTGAAGTATGGGCTTGCTTTGTTCATTCAAACTCGGTTCGAATGAAGATAATCATGTCAACTGAGGAGAGAGCTGAATTGAGTATGATGAACTGATGATGGTAATTATATACATTAACCAGACCCACAAACCAGCAATTAACAAAAGGCAATTCACAAAGACAACAATGTACAACTAGCGAAGCACAAGGTACAACCAAAATAAAATTACCTTGACAGCAAGAGAGACCTCCTCCTGGCGTTCGAGTTCGGTGAGAACTGCAACCATGTCCATTTTGAGAAGCCTGACGACGTGTGTTTTGATGAATTTATCGATCTTCTCACCGTCATCTTTGAATCGCTTCAATCCTTGAATAACGAAGAGTGCCTCTTTTCCGATGAGTTTTTTACCCCTCCATAACGGACCTCTGGGCCTACCGTCGTGGTAAGCCCGGCCGAATCCCAATGTCGCCGGAAATGTAGTATTGATAGTCGGTGGTATCGGAGAAACTAGAACAGGAGCTTGAACGCAGCGGAGGGATTTCGAAAATAGGCAGAATTTGGCAAACACGGCGGCGGAGGCGAGAATTGATGCTTTGGATCTTGAAATTATTCCTCCGACGTGCATTTTAGGTGCGGGAATCCGAACAGTGGAGAGCTGATCAGTGAATTTCAGGAGCTAGGGTTTAAGGGAAGCAATACGAATTGAGGGGTTTGACTGTTTTTGGGGGTTTGACTTTTTGGACTCTTTATAGTGTATATATACATACTGATACAGTCAATCATCTAAATATACTAATATAGTAATACTTTGTATTAATATTTCTATTACTAAAATATCAAGTTTTTTTTTAATAATTAATTAATTAATCAATTGTTTTATTTCTATTATATTTGTATAAATCGTGTTATTTTTCTTCTTTCTCGTTTTCTCGTTTTCTGGTCTAGTTGGTGAAATAAATAAGTAAACGAATTCTTAACTACGATTTGCAAGCTATATAATGAGTGAGTTTATCGGGTGCAAATCATATTTAATTTGGTTGCAAACATGCAAAAAAAACAGCCACACACATACAAATCATTTTATTAATGGTAATAACAAGGCTTGCCATTTTCTAAGCCGCATAAGAAAATGGCACTTTGAAACCTCGTACCGAATCGAAATTCCAACATACGAGCAAGCAAACATTCGAAGAAGAATATATTGCTGGCCAACATAAACTTTTTTTTTTTGTTAATTAGCACAAGCAAAGTACAAATTGTCAAATACAAAATCACCAAAAAGAACTAATAAAAATAAACATGGAATTAAAAATGACTAAAAATATATATACAGAAAAATGAATCAACAAGATCCATTGCCGGCGCACGTTAGAGGGCCAGCATCAGATGTGAGAGCTGGAACCATAGATCCATCAGCCACTTGAAACGACTGCGTTTTGGTGTACCCTGTGGCGGTGGTTCCGTAGCCGGAAGTTACAAAGTAGGCCCCATTCATGAATCTATCTCTAGATGTTCTCCATTTCCAGTTCTGCCATCCATTCTTCACCTCTCTCTTTGTAACCTATGATCATTTCAATTATTTAATTAATTTTCTTGTTTATTTATCTAATATATATTTATTATTAAATATTAATTAGCTTAATTACTTGTTTAATTTCAGCACGATTTGGAGCCATGAAGTAGTTCCCTTCACTAAAGATGGTCGGATTAGCACTTCCACCAATCGCGTACATCTCCCACTGACTGTACCTATTGTTTGCCACGTGTGCATAACCTAGCCTCACCCTGCAAATTAATTAATTAGTTACTTATTAATCACACCATGCAAGCTAATTAATCCAAGAATGATTAAGATAGTTAATTTAATTACCTCGGCATTCTTTGAACTAAACCAGGCCCAAAATGGTTGAAAACCACAGTCACTTTCATAACCCTGTCTTCAACATTGCTATCGTCGTGCCCGAACAACATCACCTGCATGCCGAAAAAATGAAAATAATTAATACGCGTCGCTAATCGGAAAAAAAAATCGTAACTCCAAACCATGCATAATTATATAATTTCTAACAAATTACAAATTAAATTCAAATTTAATATTCGACTCACTTTATCATGGTTGGTAAAGAAGTTATTCGAGATAGTAATCCCGGTCGAGGCATGAATAACATCAATAAGCCCATCGTAGCAATTGGAAAGAAAACAATGATCAATCCACACATCCGTCGAAGCAAACACGTCGATACCATCTCCATCGGACCCCCTCCTATGGCCCGCATGGGTCGGGCTATCCCGAACAACACCCGAGTATCCGGGCTTGCAGTCATGGACACTAATCCCATGTATAATCACATGACTAACATGTGCAATCGTAATGCACGGCCCGTAAGCAATTTCCACTTTCGCCCCTCTCCCGTCTATGGTCTTGTAACTATTGATCATGAGCTCGTTCTTGAGCCTAATAACCATGCTTCTCGCAAAGGTGATCCATAGTGGTTTCGATTGGATCACCCCGTATCGGAGTGTACCCGGTTTAGGGTTTGCCGCGTCGTCGGATGGATCCGTTACCACGTAGATGGCCCCGTATTTTCCTCCGATTGCGTTTTTGCCGAACCCAACCGCGCAGTCCGCCAGGGCTTGGCGATTTGCGGCCCAATTGGGTTTGGACCTCCAGCAAGAGTCTATCGGGTTCATGAGTTTCTTGGTGGACGGAGCGGGAGTGTAGGATGCTGACTCAGCTAGTAGGGTTGATATAGTTAAGACTAATAGAATTAGGGTTAGTGTTAGTGTGGAAGAAGCCATGGTTGGTTTCTTTAGTTCGGAGGTGGTGATGGAAAAAAAATTAAAGTGATTGATTTCAATTTATATGCAATATAGGTGAGAAAAATAAAATAAAAAATAACTATAGATAAAAGGTGGTGGCATACACGTTATTTTTTGGGAATTATTCTTTTGTTTTTAATTTAAATTGAGAATTATGAGATAATATTAATAGACGTGACTTCACGAACTAATTACTACATAAGTCTTGGCCTCAGAAATTGGAGGGTTTGAGAAAAATGTTTGACTTGGAGAATTTAAAAATATTATTTAATTTATAATTTATATAAATATTTGGTTTCATACTTTGAATGTTATTGTACGGAATTAAGCATGGTGTTGGTGTATATTAGTCGCAAGGAATGACGTACGGTAGAATAATTATATTCCGGCCTGCATATTAATTTAATTTATTATATGCTAATTAATTAGTTAATTAATCTGATGACTAGAGTATAATGTATATTTGCAAAATAATTAGTTGAAATGGTCTTCTTATACTAATTATAAGCAGGTCTGGGGTTGGTGATATAGTTTGTCTTATCATTTTACAAATCAAATTAATTAACTCGTTAATTAATGAAGGGCCAACAATCACATTTTTAAATATATCTGATAAATATATATTTATTAGTATATTATAAGAAGAAGACTTTGTGAATCTGAAATAGGCTTGTACCACTAAGCTAGAACAAGACTTTTGCTTGTGGTCACATAGTCAACGTTTTAATATATTCTGGGAATTAGTGAGTCATTATCATTAATAATAATCGTAATTTACTTGTGTACTATAAATTATAATATACAATTGCTAATTAATTTTTATTATTATTTATCGTATAATATCCAAATTAAAGAATACAAACCAAATAATGGCTGATATATCAAAGTGTATATATGTGTTCATCTTCTACTAGTTAAAAAAACAAAATAAAATACAAATAAATCAAACAATGTCTAACAGCTAAACCCTAATTAATTAACTACGTATGCTAAGAGTATATAATTAAGCTAGATATTTTCCCTATAATTAAATAAATAAATATAAATTAAATTAAATGATGACATGTACACTGTGCCAGCTGGTTTAAGATTAAGCATAGCTGCACATACCGTACACACACTTACTCCCTTTCCTGCACTTAGTTTTGCATCCGCCGCAGTGTTTCTTATCCGACAAGGGGTTCACACACTTGCCTTTGCAACAAATCTCCGAATATTTACACTTATGCCCGCATTTCCCGCAGTTTAATCGGTCTTTAGCGTAACTCACACACTTCTTCTTGCAACAATAGTGACCTGGACTGCCCTTGAAGTGGCATATTTTCGGGTTTTTGTCGCACTTCATTAACATCGCACGCGCACTCTTCTGCGCGAGAAAACGGCCGACCCCACGGAGCGAGGTGGGCCCCGCTTCGTCGGTTTCCGGTATCGGAAGATAATCTTCTTCTTGTTCTGCTTCGTTGTCGTCGTTTTGAGTTGATTCTGCTAGAGACGAAGAGACGGACAAAGCCATTATTAACATTGCCGACACGAAGACGAACTTATAGAAGCAACTCATGATGATGAATATAGTATTGATGGTTTCTTGATTATATCAATATGGGACGAAAGATAAATTGAAGAAATAATATATTTGAGATATTGTAAGAGAAAAAGGGATTGGGAGTTATATATATACAGTTTTGATGCATGAGAAGGTGTGCGTAGTTATTTTGAAGTGGAGTGGTCTTTATTCAACAGCCGCATACAAAGTTAGGCACTATATATACATTTTCGTACGTGTATGTATATATATATATATGTATATATTCACATGTTAGAACAAAAAAAAAAAGTTGGCATCCACAATAAGAAATTCTTCTCTTTGTACTTGCTTGTGGAATTTGTGTGTACGGGAAATCAAGTAGATGGATAGCTTTGAAAATTGAAATACTCTCTCTCTCTCTCTCTCTCTCTCTCTCTCTCTCTCTCTCTCTCTCTCTCTCTCTCTCTCTCTCTCTCTCTCTCTCTCTCTCTCTCTCTCTCTCTCTCTCTCTCTTTCTCTCTCTCTCTCTGATTGGTACATATTTAGTGACCCATTTAGTAGAATTTTATTGACAAGTCAGCCAATGGGATCCTTCAAGATTGTAAAATTTGGAGGTTTTTTGGACCACTTTAATTTAAATGGACTGAGGTTTCAAATAAGTGATAAATAAATAAATTAATGAAATTAAATGGAATATTGAGTTCTTCTTTTCTCCTGTCCCTTCACATACTTTTCAAATCATCAACTTTTGAAGCACACATATATATATATATATATGTGATATATGGATGGAAGATAAAAACTCTTTTTGGTGATTTGAGACTTGTAAAGTGGCTAACATGGACCACGTACGTACCCTCATTTTTTATTTTAGTATTATTATTTTATTGAAATACTATAATTAGGTGTGTGTTTGCTGACATTAGTATTAGATTTAATGATACGTTTCAACATTAAACACCATTGTATTACGAATAATTCTACATTCAAAGGATATTTTAAGTTTTCAATTAATGTTTGGCACTTTGGCCGTGATATTTGAAACCAACAACTTCTGATTGATCTATACACGTGTGGATTTAATTGAGATTTTGAGACAAACAACTTCTCTTGTTCCATACGAATCGGATTTGGTTGGGGTTAGGAAGAACATTAATTATCAAAATATTAGAAAATTATTGGAGTATCATTTTAGTATCTAATAACTACCCTAGCATATTTATATTTAAATTAAATAATTATAATATAAAAAAAATGGGGAATGTCGTGTAGATTATGAACATTTGACATTTGCAAGTTAGGAGTTGACAATTACGAACTGGTACAGGCGCACTTACATGCTTCCAATATTCAAAACAGTCAACGGTTTGACATTTATATGTATAAATGATTTGTTTATATCTTGGCATCTTTCTTTACAGGTGGGGCCAAACCTAAAAGTAGTAGAAACACAGAATAAATCCTCCAATCACTCTTTACTCAGTTTCTTGTTTCCTCATATTTTCATTTCATTGGCCTAAAAAAGAAAAAGAAAATAGGCCAACTTAAATAAGACTTGGCCACCCCTTGGCTCCTGCTAACTGCAAAGGACAATTAAGTTCAAATTTTCAATGAAGTGAAATCTCTAAACCAACATCATAATTTTTTGATTAATCTCATAATTTTATTTATAAATATCATACCATATTTAACAAAAATATATTATTTTTTCTCTTTTATATTATGCTGATCTCCCGTTAAAAAAAAAAAACTATGAATATCAGTAATTTCTGAATTTGATTAACATGGTTCAAAAAACAGATGAGCAATAAAGTAGATTTATTTAAATTTTACGTAGGACGCGAAAATGCAATTCATCCTCGCACCAACGTAAGATTCAAGTCAGAGATAAGCTAATTTTAGTGCGTATGTAACCTGCTACCATAAAGAAAATGGACTAATTTTTTCTTTGATTTATTTAAATCAGTCACGCAAAACCACCTGCAGACTTTTAGTGAACATAGAATTAAATGGTCCTCAATCCAGACCACAGCTAGGAATGCCGTCGAAGTTTGGCATCCTTGAATTAGGAAAAACGGTAGAAAAATATCAAGTTCAGACATAAAATAAAATTGACAAAAAAAAAAAAAAGAAAGAAAGAAAAGAAAGAAAATCGAGAAGGTCTTAGAAGATTGTTTTGTCAGTTATTAACCACAAAGAAATTCTCAATAGTAACTCGATCTTAATGCAGAACATGGAAACAAATTGTTTCACTCCTGCAGACACACGCACAAAAATATGTACTGCTTAACAACTTCGCGACTCGAAGTTTTTCTTACCCGTTTTAGCCATACAAATTCCTAAAACTTTTCAAAAGCTCGGGAATATCGTAGCTAAGCATGTCATCAACGGCTTGAATCATTTTCGGTTTCAACTTCTCGAAATCATCAATGCTATAACGACTCAGGACTTCCCTAAAATGCTCCACACTTGGAAAGTCTCCAGCTGGTAAATGATATTCTTTCTGAACCTGCATTTCATCATCACCAACGTTATAAAAGCCGAACACTAATGATTGATGATTGTGCGCACTGAATTAAATTAGGGTGTGGCACAAAAAAAGATTACCTTTTCAAATACTTTTTCAAGATTATCCACAAGTTTCCGCTGTGCTTTAGCTTTGCCCATTACAGCAGGCATCTCTTTCTTGAGTTGGCTAATTATGTACGCATGGATCTTGGCATCTCTAGCACGTTTCACAAATTCGTTGATCTGGCAGTAAATTTATATTAAAAAAAAACCCTAATCATCGGTATTTGCTTTTCTGTATCACTCGTAACCAAATAAAACATTCGTTTTTTGAACTATATAAATATTCTGCATACCCGACGATCGCAAGCCTTCTTCGGTATGTCTATCAAGTCTAGCAGAAGGTCGTCTTGCTCTTTTTCAAAAAGTTCCTTTCCTACAGGTCCAATGGCTGCTTCGTTCACAGGCTTGTCGTTAAATGATCTGAAATTTACATTATGATCCTTATAAAGGTTAACGTGACACTTGAATCCTGTCTTTCTATGTAGCCCAAGAGTTTATGAATCATAAGATTCAAAAGTTACGAAGATGAACCTACCCAATATAGACACGAGATACCTCTGGAGTATTCAGAACTTTCCCGAGTGACCACATTAGTGCACCATACACTCTCATCAGCTGCAATGGTGTAAAGAGATGTATGAGAATTAACAGGCTCTTCAACTAAATTACATCAGAAACCACAAAATTAAATAAAAATAAAGAGAAACATGTATGTGAAAAGTTTTATGATAATTCACATATTCAATGAATGAGTCTAGTAACCTGTTGCGTATCAACTTGATCGGCTTTATTCAAAACAACACGGATTTTGTCATCATGGCCGCGTAGTGATGAGATTACCCGTTTGAACTCATCACTAATGTCAAGCTTATGGGGCTCGAATAGGAGAAGTATTACATCGCATTTTGCTGCGAACCACGATATGACACCCGTAAAATCGTAGCTTCTTTGTGTCCGTTGCTTTTCTCCGGATAATACACCAGGCGTGTCCACAAATGTTATGTTTTCTAGCAACTGTGGGGAAATGAACTTGCTTCAAATAACTGAAGTTTTATAAAATTGCATTATGCATGCACAAAAGAACTGAAAAACTATAACTCACTGGATGTGGAAGTTGAGAACACTCGAACTTAGATAAAAATGATCCACCAAAAGTATTCAAACCGGTAAATGGGAGCTCTGCATGTACAGCAATAGTGTTTCCAGGAATGCTCCTTTCATCTGGTCCGGACTGAGATACATTTAAGAATTTAATAAATAAAGAAACACACACAAAAAAAAAGGCTAAAACAGAGCACGGCAAATAGTTGTAATAACTGCGTTTATTTACCATGACAACAATAAATCGATCGGTAGTTGGCTCAGGTCCAATATGAGCACCTGTGAAGAAAAAAAGGATCGATGTCTGATTAATTACAGAAATAATCAGTAATTCTTAAATAATTACAATATCCAACATCATTATTTTATTTTAGTTAATTATGATTTAGATTTTTACGAGTGAAATAATCGCAGTAGTTAAGTATCAATTAAGGTAATGTTAGAAACAAACTTCACCTGGATAGTTGCATTGGAGCAAGTGTTTTATAAATGTTGTTTTTCCAGTTGAGTACTGACCCAAAAGCATGACCATAGGCTTGGCATCAAAATCACTACTGGTCTGTAAATAAAGAGAACACTGACATGTCAAACATCGATTCGTAGGACATATAAAAATGTACCAAACGAATTAAATACCAGAAATAATACTAGGCAGCAGAAGTATGTTTCTCAGTATAAAATATTGACCTCAAATGACTCACCAAAAAAGGAGATACAAAATCGTTAAAACGATAAGTAGCTTCCAATGGCTTTAGCTTTTCATTATACAGTCTCTTCAAGCCGTCAATCACTGACGTAACAGATGGTAGCGAAGTTTGGTTCTGTTAATTTTAGAGAAAAAATCGGGTACAAAGATCAGAATGAAAACGAGGACACCAAAGTTTACTTGACCAAAAAAAAACAGAGTACCTTCTTTTTTGACTTGGTACTAAACAAACTTTTTGGTGGTGGCTGTGGCTGCGTATTTCCTGCATTTATTAGTAATCGTCAAAAAAAAATTCCCAATAGCTAACTCACATGTATATTTGAAATGTATTACTAACCAGTGGTTTCAGAATTGCCATTTAACACTGCCCTCCTATTCTTCTGGTTGAGAAACACAACGGTGAAATGTTAGTAAAGCAAAAATTTCTCATTAAACACGGAACAAGAAATTGGATAAGGACTTACTTCCAGAAATGCATCCAAACCTTCCATGTATGGAGGACTCAGTGTCTCCAAATAAACTGCAGAGTGCAGACGAAAGATTCAATCATAAAATTAAAATGCTGCCTTGAACAAAATGTAGTTTTCACCTAAAGTATGAAATCAGGAATATTGTACGTTTCACCACTTGCCTGTACTCCTAAGGAGACTTGAAGTTAGCTCATGTCCTTCTTGTGCCAATGATATCAGCTGGAAGTGGAAGAATTCACGAAAAGAACGAACAACACTTAGTTCTTTCCAGTGTCATAAGCATATTACTTTTTATTTTCATATTTTCTTTTTTATACAAAATACTACCTGCATTGCGGTAATAAACTCCTTGAGACCTAAATACCCTTGTCGCTTCGTATCAGCAATCGCCCAAACCTTATAAAAAGATAGGAAAAATGCAAATGACCTTCTGAAAATCAACCGATGTGCAGAAAACAGAGAGATGCAGGCGATAGCCAAGATTTTAGTATAGCCAGTATGACATTCATTATCACTAACAAGAGAACTAATACCCGATAATCAACCATCAAACACTGATTTTACAATACGATTGAGAGAGTAATTTTTATCTGATAAATGCATGAATGATCCATGTAAAACATCGAACAGGGAAGAAATAAAAACAAAGAATCGTATACATAAGCAAATCGACGGGATCAATCGAAAAACTAGTTTATCGAGACTGTAGTAAATTGAATCACTCAAGCAGAAGAAACACGAAATGAACAAAATATCAAGCACAATTCGACCTCGCTGTACTCAAACAAGTAGTTTTTTACAGGATTAACAGACAAAATATATTTATTCAAAATCAATACTATAATCTACTGTATCCTCCCAACATAATTAACATGAATACCTAAAATCAGAACTCATAACTCAAAAAAATGGGGATTTTCGTTTAGATACTAAACCTGCTTGAGTTCCGGCTTCGTTAAATGAGACATCGCAAAAAACTCCGTCGCATCATTTGCCGTCAAACGTCCGTCGCGATCTGTGATAAATTAACGAAATCAGATATTAGATTAATTAAAAAAAAAAAAAAAAAAGAGTGAGCATTTGCGTAATTTAAAATGAGAAAATGAGAGACGAATAAACCTGAATCGACAGAGGTAAACCAGTTTTGGTAGAGTTTTAGTTGTTCTTTGGTACAAGTATCCATCTTCTCCGAGACGAATTCCATTTTTTTTCTCCAGAGCAAAAGCGAAATTCCAGTGGCTTTCTAACTGATGTAGGCGGTGTGTGCTGATAAACGTGAAAAGTCCCGCTGATAAACAAAATTTGGAATTTGAAATTCCGTGAAAAGAGGAAATTAGATGACCTATTATATAATAGCTGTCATCCTCTCTAGTAATGTTACTCCAGTTTCGTGCAGTTGATATAGAAGTCGTTGAGGTTAATTTTTTTTGGATAAAACAACGATTTCTTTAGTTAAATCCAGAAACAAAAAATTAATGCCCTGTCCTTATTTTTATAAATTTGAGTATTCGGTACCGTGTACGTATTGATGCCTGATACCGAGTACCGAAAGATTTAATATTTTTTTCTAATTCTTTAAGGTTATAGTAACAAATTATAAAATATTTTTAGATTAATAATTTTTTCCATTATTTTTCGAAAGCTATTTCAAATCACTCAAAAAAATCGAAATCCAATACAACGACTTCAAAAAAATAATTCAATATAAAGTTATTGATTCGAAATCCATTGCAGTAATAGATTCATTATGTGTAACAAGTGATTCACATACAAGATAAACTTATATAGTAAAACAGTATTTGACAGCAGGATGTTTTTTTGCTCTTCAAAACAGGCAGCAAAATTTCTGCACAACGAAAACACGAGATTATGAGTTCAGGTTTAACGTAATTAAAATTACAAAATTCTGTCGTATATTGCGACATACGCGTATTTTTCTACTCTCGTTTTTCTGGCTAGTCCGACAGTTGTCGTTGATAGTCTGTATTGGCACAGGAGGGAACTTAGAAGCTGCAATCTGTTTTTCCTCCTTCACTTTATTGAAAATGACCGTAAAGCCCTCCGCTGATCTCGGATCTTTCTCATCCCATTCACCAAATTTCGGAACAGAAACCGATTTAACTGACTGCCGGATCGGAGAGATTAATTTTAGCTTTTGATACTTCGATCATCAAATGAAAATAATACGAAATTTATTCCAAAAGAGAAGAATCTACTTACAACATCATCACTCGTATATTTTCTTCGGTGGCGGTTCGTTTTAACCACCGAATTATCGGAGGGACTTCTCTCAGTCGTACTGCTTGAATAACTTTCCGAATTACCCATGGTCCGATGAACGTAATTTGGCGGTGCTCTAATAGTAAATGCCCCCGGGTTTTGCTCCGGGTCGTTAGGGTTTATACGAACGCCATCCGATTTTTCCTTACGTGCATTCTCAAAGTAGGCTGTGTAAGGTACGTTGTCGCCGCCTTCCCAGTTTCCGAACTTCGGAACATGCGATCGCTGCTGCAGATGAGTCATTTGAAAATTAAAGAAAAAAAAAGATGATTCTAATAAATACTAATAATTTAAATAATGAACAAGAAGATGACGTAGGCATTTTATCAAACACTTACCGCCATATGTCAAACGGATGTTTCCCTAGCTCAGTTTTAATGGAAAAAAAGAGGTAAATATATAAATAACAAAGAAGAGAAGTGGAGTTTGCGAGTGGGGTCCACTTTTCCATTACAGAGTGAATTGAAGATTGACTCCATCGGAGATTCCGATGAACTTGCAGATAATAGCAGTTCGATGTTTTCAAGATTTTGTCGCAAGCCTAAACATTATTTTGCGTAAATACGAAATTAATTCATCCTAAATAAAAAATGTAATATATCGAAAAAATGAAAAATCACTAGGGCAAATCCCAGTTGGCGTGCTGCTATTGGCTTTCCGTTACACGTATTGGTCCAAACATACACGTCATCCATAATAAATCCATATGTATTTGCTGTTCATTAATTCCTTGCCAATTCAAATCCACGTGGCCATATATAACTAGTTGCCGAATGTCAAGTGTTGCTAAGGGTAATATATAAAGAAAAAATACAATTTAATTAGTACGTACGCAGCAACAACTTTAATAATTTCGATCTTCATATATCACGTAATTTGCTAAATAATCATCCATAAAACTGAAGCCTCATGAGCCTAGCCTATACGTCATTACTAATATTATATAAATATTGCTCCTAAATTATTAATTAATCTCCGGGATTAACGCAGTTAATCGAATCAGTGACATGCAGCGCTCCATTATTGGTTTACTTAGCGCTTCCACCAGCGAATGAATCATCATATATTAGATGCTGCAAAAGAATACAAATTACGAACATTATACTAGTAATTAATTTATATCAAGCTAAGCGAATTAATAGCTGAGATTAATTAGTGGTAATAATTGACATATAAATTATAAATTACTTGTTACAGTCGGCGTTAGGGTCAATAGGCACAGGAGTAGTGATTTTACAAATGCCCGGAAGACTCTTAGCTCTTTCGGGAATAACATGCAATGCGGCCGCAGCCTGCTTGAGGCACTCGCACATGCTTTTAAGCTCCGGCTTAGTTTTCACTTTGCCGTTGAGTGCGCTTGCGCCGGTACAGCATGGGACAGAAACAAAGTTGGATTTGCCGATAAGGTAATCCTTGCATGGCATTAGGGTTGATATGGCTTCTGTACATGTTATTGCATTTGCATGGCTGGCCACTAATCCCAACACCATCATCCCTATTATTACACAACTAACCATCTTCTTACAAGACATGTTCATTCTTTTTTTTCTTCTTTTACTAGTAATTTCAGAGGCTAATTAACTATTTTTTTCTTTTTATTATTAATTGTTATTTGTTGTGTTGTTTGATGTGAATTGTGTGGCCTATTTATAGATGGTAAACCCTAAATGCGGATTTCAAATGTAAAATTAGGGGGCATCGATACCGAGGAAGGTTGTTAGCTATAGTCCGGATAATATTTGGTGTCTGGGGAGTCGCAAAAGTTTCAACTAATTTTCAGTGGTTTTATTTATTTATTTACCGGGGGCTGATTTTAAATTCTAGAGATGGGATTTAAAATATAACAACTTCAAATGAGAAGGAAATTTCAAGTATATAATTTCAATTAAATAACATCTTTAGTTATTTGTTGCAAAATACTTGTATACAAATTTCAAACAAAAATTCGATTAAAAAAATCATAAATTGGGTGGTGAGATTATTTGATTTGACTTATATTAGGAGTGAAATTGAAATAATTTTTTTTTTACTTTCGTCGATTTCGATCCAATTATTTTATTATATTATTTCAAAATTTTATTTCATCCAAATTGCGAAAGCCTGATTATTCTTTCACATTTTGAAATGAAAGGAAATTATAATTGATCTTTTGATAACATTTTTTTTTCCAAAAGTTGTTAATTTCAATCCGATATTCCGATCCGATCTGCTCGAACTCCATTCTGCTCCAAATTGTTGTGTTTAGGGGTGTTGCATGCATGCATTGGGTTGAGGAAGTGGTACATAGAACAAGGGGATATTAATAAACTAAATTAAAGAGAGCACTTTCATTTTATTTTTTTAATATTTATAAAATTAAATGATTACATATATAAATCACATATATGATTGTTAACTAAAACATACATATAAAAATATAATATATTTGATAACATTAATATATTATATATCAATTAATGAGTTATAACTTGTCACAGTTGACATTAGGGTCAATAGGCACAGGGAGATTGATATTGCAAAGTCCGGGAAGCTGCTTCGCCCTATCGGCATTAACTCCGGTGGCGGCAGCAGCCGCATTCTTCAAGCACTGACAAATCGCTTTCACCTCTTCCGGATTTGATTTTCCCAGCTGGTCCAACGAGCGGGCCCCATCGCAACACTGAACCGTCACCCCATTGGCTGCACCCGCCAAAAATGGCTGACATGGGATCAGCTTCTTTACGGCTTCGTCGCAGCGGAATGCACTTTCACCGTGATTGAACGACATCGCGAATAACAAGCCCATTATCCATATCGAACTCATCATGTGTTCCCCCATTTTCAATTTTCTTCTGATTTTTGTATATATTTATTTTCTTCTTCTTTGGAAAACTGTGTTACACTATTAATTAGTCTAATGCTTGTTTTATAGTGGATGCTGGGTTTTAAGCTTTTAAGAGTAAACTGATTAGGCCATGGACTTTGAGAGTGAAGATATATCTATACATATTATATATATTTGCTTAAAATTGATTGCTGCAAAGTTTATATGGATATATATATTTATTGATATCAGTTGAAATGCAAATAAAAATAAATGCATTTTCTATTCCCTTTCATGAAAATAAAGAGAATCTCTTTGTTTTTCTTTATATTTTCCCTTATTAAAATAAAAATTATATTGCAAAGTCTTTACACAGATTAATCTAAAACACATGTCATTAGTTTGCAGAAGGATAATAAAGTAACGAATGCACAATGGAAATTTTGCAGCCGGTACATCTTCAATAATTGTGATCTTCATATAATAATAATATATATTTTTTTAATTTGCTACTAATTAATCATCCATAAAAATCAAAATATATATCCTCCATTATTATACAACTAATTTGGCTTATTTTCCGACTAACGTAACTAGCTAACACCGTTAATCTGTGGCTAAATGTAGCTCTGTTATTTCCGTTCCAACACCACACTGCCAAATCAGTGTAACCTGCATAATACAGCAAACAGCTAATAATCAGTAACAAGCTCCAATTAAATATGTATATAATTAATAGATTAATTAAAGGCAAGATTAATTAGTTGTTATTACCTGTTACAGTCGAAATTAATGTCAATAGACACAGGAACATCAAATTTACATAACCCGGGAAGTGCTTTAGCTCTATTGTTAACAACATGGAAGTCGGTGGCGGTCTTCGTAACACAACTCTTTCAGTGACGAATTTTTCATAACCAATTTGACAAGCGAGTTGGCACTGCACAACATGATGACGAGGCGATGCTGTGAAAACTTGTTTGGTTAATTTCAACCAACCTTCGGAAGTGATTGTAATTAACTAAAAAGGAGAAATTGGAATTTGACCATACCTCAGTGGATGGCCTTAATTTGTCTTTAAGAAATAGTTTTGATATTTGTTTGATTTATTATTATGGACTTGAATTTTATTTTATTTTTAAATTCTTAATTAAGATGAATTAATTTCTTAGGAAAGTGGGATATATAATGAGACGAGAGAAACAGCCCTTTGCACTTGCACCCCCTGTTTTGAGCCATCAACCATAGATTACAATGATTTGGGAATTTTGGATATTCAGATAAATACCCGAACCTTCTGTCACACTACTATCGGGTCGGGTCAGTACCAAATAACCGAACGCCCAACCAAAACCCTGGACCAATTAATCACTAATTACTCCAACAATTATAGATTAGAGATGAAGAGCTGAAGAACAATCAACGTCAGAAAACTAATTAGCAACAGATTAACTAAAAAGGAGAGCAGGAGTTAACAATGTCGAATCAAACAGCCATTAAAATCGAAACAGAGAAAAAAAAAACCTAGAAGAACAAATTCACAATATTCATTCTCCCGATACTAATTCCATCTGAAAAAAAGAGGGGAAAATTGAAGGATAAACAGTAACCAACCAGCATCAATTGATGTCTTCGTCGTTGAAATCGTCCTGGAAGGAGTTGAAGAAATCGGTGTCGGCGAGGCGGTGGAGATCCACGCCGCCGTGGAAATCGCCGGAGAAATCTAGTGAGGAATCCGCGTCGTCTAAATCCATAGACAAAGCCAAACCTACGCCCTGGTCGTCGTCGTCGCCGAAGAGGTCCATTCCCATCGTCTTCATCTCGACTTCACCCTGCACGCCTCCCAACTCTCGGAGTAATTTATATATATAAGTGCAGGGCGGTCACAGTATTGGGCTTTTATATGACGAATTAATAAGGTACTGGGCCAGATAACCCTTTTAAGCCCAAAGAGTTTGTGCGCGTGTGTAGGTTTTATATTTATCTTGATATTTATAAAAAAAAAAAATTAATTACAATACATACATCAATTATAATTTAATTTCTGAACATTTATAATCTAATTTTTTAAAACTAAAGATTATACTGGCTTGTTTAATTTTTGTTTTAAACAACTCTAATTTCTAGACTAGTTATTAATATATTTTTTTTTTAAATATGGGGATCATATGGCAATTTAATTAAATGAACTCAAATGGCAAAATTAGAATTAAGTAATAATAATGGTTAAAATGGAGGGTTTTTTTATTGTTTTTTTTTTTTGTATCATTGTCTTGAAATATTAATCCCAAACATTTGATTAAGTTCCATTATATATCTATAAAGTCCAATTATAATTCCAAAACAACACAAAAGCTCAATTTGATCATTAAAAAAATATATTTCGATGCATGATAATTGATAACAGTACAAATATCATATTAATCATATGAAGTTGTTGCATCTCGGACCTTCTTCACTCTTAGCTTTCCCCAGCACTTTATATGCCACTGAAAATAGAAAGAGAACAAAAAAAAGTAAAATATCCATCAAATTAATTAAAAATTAAATGCTAGTTAAGAAAAGAAATCCCCTAATTAATCAATTAATTAATTTATTATATATCTCACAAATAATAGTAATTAATTAGCCTGCCGGATGTGGTGGCTAATCGCGATGGCCGATACCAGGGCTATGTCCAGGTGTTGTGGGCTGACCAGCCTTCCTCTCAAAATTCTCATAACGTACTCCGTTCAACTGAATCCTGCATGATTTCAACCAAGTTAGAGAGAGAAAGTTCTAGAGAGAGAGAGAGAGGGAGAGTTATATATATATACGCATCACAGTTGACGTCAGGCTGGATGGGAACGGGAACGGAGATCTTGCAGAGCACGGGAAGCTGTTTGGCCCTGTCTTGATTAACATCAACCGAGGAAGCAACTTGCTTGAGGCACTGACAAACGGTCTTCGTGTCGGCGGGAGAAGCTGACGTGGCACGAGACAACGCCTGAGCACCCAGACAGCATGCTGTCGTGATATCTCCGACACCCATCAGAAATGGCTGACATGGCATCAGATACTCCAATGCTTCCGTGCACAAAACGGTGCCGTTTGCTGGAGCCACCCCGCTGCAGGAAATCAACGCCAGAACCAACACCCCTGCCAAACAACTCGAACTCATCACGTAATAAGCCATTTTTAATTCTTTTTTAATTCTTTTTTTTCTTGTGGTGAAGTTAGAGGAGCAAATCGGGTGTATTTATAATAGTGAAATCAAGAACCAAAAGGAGGTGTGTTTTTCTCGTGAGAGTGTGGGACCATACCCTAATCAATATCAGTTATATATATGGGAAGTGCAATGAGTATACAACTAATGACAGATATATGTCTACTAAATTTTCTGCCCTGGTGATTTTGTTGTTAATTTTTGGATACGACAATGTTGCGATTGGTGTTCGATTTTGGCCCAATATGCTTGATCGGCTTTCAGCCCAAACTGTGTCGAGTCCGGTCCGTTTATCTTCAACTATAAAAGGAGTTAACGTTAGTGCAACAATAATGGCATCTTAATTGGTAATTATTTTTTTCTCTACTAGTTTTTAAATTATCTAAATGTTGATATTGTTAGTTCAATTTAAATATCACTAATAAATTGTATCATAATAAAGTAATGCTATTGTCATCAATGTCATGTATTAGTTTAATTAAAAAAAATTATTTTGATTAATAATTTAATTTCAATTTTCACTACCAAATTCATGAGCAAGAAATTCATAATTTAAATATAACTACTAAAAAGTATCTCTTCTCCAAATTATCCCTCCAATCCAAATTGTATCTCATTCAATTTAATACAACCTAAAATTAGTTGAGACCAAAAACGTGAGGCCCTGGACTAACAACCGCACACCTCGGTATCCACGCCGCCCCACCCAAATTAACCTGTATAATGAATTAGAAATCCGGAGCTTAATTACCCTCTATAAATAGGGCACAAAACTCATACTTCAATCATATCAAAAAAGAATTCATCTTACTTATAACAAAACTGAAAAAAAAAGAAAAAAAAAAAGAAAAAAAAATGATGTCTGCTAGAAAGATGATTATAATGGGGTTAGTGTTATTAGTGGCAATAATATTTAGGGCTACCCATGCAAATGCAAATGCAAATGCAAATGCAAATACGAAAATCCCGTGCTTAGAAGCGATAACAAAGATAAGTCCGTGCGAGGATTATCTTGCGGGCAAAGCTAAAGGTGTGACGGCCGCGTGCTGTAACGGTGCTCGTTCGCTAATCCCTATTATTCCGCCCGGTATTAAGCCGGGAGACTTGTGCCCCTGCTTTATGATGGCTAAACCTGGTTTCAATATTCTTCCCGATAGAGCCGACGCTCTTCCCGGTTTATGTAAATTGGGTGTTCATATCAAGTACCCTAAAGACCTTTTATGTCCCAAGTACGTATTAATTACAACTAATCTTGCCTCCTTATAACTATTAATGCTCACTTTTAATTTATTCATTTTCATTTATATATATATGTTCATTAGTATATAACATACTATTAGTACACTTGGCTATTTCTGCAGTTTGGAATGTTATGATTAATTATTTTTTTTGGTGTTTGCAGTTTACACTGATTTACCGCCGGTGGCCGGAGTGGTGGGGACCGATAACGGAGCTACAAGTGCTAAGATTAACTAGGGTTAATTAAATGGAGAATAAGGCGATTTAGAGAGAATATATTAAATTAAGAATCAATAAATTACTAATAATTATATGTTGCTAGCTAGCTAGGGAGATGAGGTTATGATTTTATGGATGATTAAAAAGGAAAAATTATTGAAGATGTCTGGAATGCATGATTTTACTTCATTGTGTTGTTTGTTTAATTATATTATTATCCTTTGCAAAATAATAATATTAATATAAGTTCCATTTTAATGATGGAAAATACTAATTAAAAACATAGTTATATATATAATTAAGAAAAATGCATTAATTGTAATTTACATTTTCTTGCAGCAAACAATTTAAAGCTAATATATCTTAATCTCCCAAGTCCTCTGCCTAATCAGTTTAATCTTAAAAGCTTAGAACCCAGCATCCATTATAAATTAAAACAAGCGTTACACTAATAGACTCACACAGTTTTCCCAAGAAGAAGAAAATTAATTAAAATTAAAAAATTCAGAAAGAAAATTGAAAATGGCGAAATACATGAGTTCGATATGGATAATGGGAGTGTTGATATTTGCGATGTCGTTCAATTACGGTGAAAGTGCATTCAGCTGCGACGAAGCCGTAAAGAAGCTGATCCCATGTCAGCCATTTTTGGCGGGTGCAGCCAATGGGGTGACGGTTCAGTGTTGCGATGGGGCCCGCGCATTGGACCAGCTGGGAAAATCAAATCCAGAAGAGGTGAAAGCGATTTGCCAGTGCTTGAAGAATGCGGCTGCTGCCGCCACCGGAGTTAATGCCGATAGGGCGAAGCAGCTTCCCGGACTTTGTAATATCAATCTCCCTGTGCCTATTGACCCTAATGTCAACTGTGACAGGTTATAAGAGGAACTGGGAGATAGATATATGATGCTATATATATAGATGTTAATGCTATCAAATTTATTATATTTTTATATGTGTGTTCTAGTTAAAAAATCATATATGTGATATATTTATAATCATTTAATTTCATAAATAATGTTACTTAAAAAATTAAAATGAGAGTGCTCTCTTTAATTTAGTATATTAATATTTCCTTGTTCTACGTACCACTTCCTCAACCCCATGCAACACCCTAAACGCAATAATTTGGTGTAGGATGGAATTCGAGCAGATCGATTGGATCGGATTGAGATTAGCACATTCGGGAAAAAATATTATCAAAAGGTCAAAATATTATAATTTCATTTCATTTCAAAATGAGAAAAAATAATCAGAATTTCTCAATTTGGATGAAATAAAATTTTGAAAAAATGAAGTAAAATAATTGGATGGAAATCGACGAAAATAAAAATCTTGTTTCAATTTCACCACTAGTGTAAAGTAAAATAAAAATATTTTGCAACAAATAATTAAAACCATTAAAGATGTTAATTAATTGAAATTATATACTTGAAATATCCTTCTCATTTGAAGTTGTTATATTTTAAAATCCCATGTCTAAAATTTAAAATCAGCCCCCGGTAAATAAATAAATAAATAAATAAAACCACTGAAAATTAGTTGAAATTTTTGCGACTCCCCATACACCAAATATTATCCGGACTATAGCTAACAACCTTCCTCGGTATCGATGCCCCTAATTTTACATTTGAAATCCGCATTTAGGGTTTACCATCTATAAATAGGGCACACAATTCACATCAATCAACACAATTAATAATAATAAGAAAAAATAGTTAATTAATTAGCTAGGCTCTGAAATTAGTAAAAGATCGAAGAAAAAAAGAATGAAAATGTCTTGTAAGAAGATGGTTAGTTGTGTAATAATAGGGATAATGGTGATGGGATTAGTGGCCAGCCATGCAAATGCAATAACATGTACAGAAGCCATATCAACCCTAATGCCATGCAAGGATTACCTTATCGGCAAATCCAACTTTGTTTCCGTCCCATGCTGTACCGGCGCAAGCGCACTCAACGGCAAAGTGAAAACGAAGCCGGAGCTTAAAAGCATGTGCGAGTGCCTTAAGCAGGCTGCCGCCGCATTGCATGTTATTCCCGAAAGAGCTAAGAGTCTTCCGGCCATTTGTAAAATCACTACTCCTATCCCTATTGACCCTAATGCCGACTGTAACAGGTAATTAACTAATTTAATACCAACAAAATTAAACTAAAAAAATTAATTAGTTGAACATGAATATATAATAGTGAACTGTTATTACTAATTTGTTACTGATTTGTTTTTTCTTTTGTGTTTGCAGCATCTGATAAACGGAGCTCATGTCGCAGAATAAATATTCATTAGTACTTCGGGGATTAGAGAAGATGATTTAGCTAGCTATATAAAATCGAGAGCTATTAATGATTGATGAGCAATGTGTAATATTAATTAATTACTAATAAGTAGGTTGAGCTTTCAATTTTATATGGATGATTATATGTAGCAAAGAATATGATATATGAAGATCGAACATTGTTAAAGATCGATGTCGATGTATGTATACTCTCAGTGTATTTTAATTAATTGTTAAGATGATGCATGGATCGGCAATATTATCAAATTCTAATTAATTGCTAAAGCTTAATTAATTGAATGCTAATTATATTTATATACTCCAAAGCTTGCACGAGTGTAATTAAACACTTGACGTGTAGAGAATTAGCAGTAGTCATGAAATATTGAGAAAAAGCCATTTGTTAGCAATTTTTGCATTTACCAGATAGTAATAATCAATATATATCTAACCACATTAACTAAGTCGCAGCTAGCAACCAATTTAATTCCTTAATTACTATAGAAAAGCACAGACAAATTATATTATGTCTTAAATTATTTGTCCATCCTTATAATTCGGTGCTTTAGTAGAAGAAGAATATATACACAAATCAAATTTAGCACATCACACTTTTTTATAAAGTTGATATAATCTTAAATATTGCAATAATCTTAAAGATATAAGAATCTTAAAAAAACTAAGTCCATTCCGCTCCAAGAAACATAGGAAAAATAAATATTGCAATTTTAGAAATTGGAACGAAAAAAGTTGTTCCAAAATTAAAAAAATTCAGGGTGATAGACAGTATTGTACTTTTCCCAAAATAAAAAAAAAAAGCAATCAAAATTTTCAGATCAAAATTAAATTAGAATCGGAATCTAATTTGTATTAAAATACGAAGAGAAAAATCAGAAATCAGAACTTTCTGAATTCAAAATATGAAATATTATATTGTTTCAAAGCCAAAAAATATTCCAATCAAAATAAAATATAACTAGTGGAAAGCGGTTGGTTTCCACCTAAAAACCTTAAATTTAGTTGGTAATAAAAAGACAATATCCAATAAATCAACTACATACAGTAAATGAAACCTGCTAACCACTAACTAATTTATATTAACTCCGAATTTAAAAATAAAAAACTTAATTACATACATTCATGCATTATAAATATGGAGGGCTAGCTACATGACTTCCTCATCGGAGCACACAGTACTCAGAAACAAATTAAAGAAGAAGAAAAAACTTGTATATCCGATCCGATGGGAGGCTGCTTTAAGTGGTTTGCGGCGGTGGCGCTTGTGGTGTTGGTGGTTGGTGGAGATTGGGCGGCGGCGGAGATTCAGTGCAACGACGCCGTGGCGCGGGTGCTCCCCTGCGAAGCTTTCCTGCTGAGCGGGGACAGTACGCCGAGCGCGGCGTGCTGCAGCGCCGTCCAGTCTCTGGATCAAACCGCGACGGCGTCCGCCGGAGATCGGAGGGCCATATGCGAGTGCTTCAAGGATGTTGCCAAGTCTTTCCCCATCAACTTGGCCAAAGCCCAGCTTCTCCCCGAGCTTTGCCACGTCACCGTCGGCGTTAAGATTGATCCCGACGTTGACTGCACCAGGTAGTGTACAGTGTACTCTATACCTATACATATATACGTACAACATATAGGTATACATGAATGTATGCTTAGCTTGCTGATGATGTATCTCTGTCGTTTTGATACAATGTGCAGAATTTGAAGGGTTATCCAAGTTTCCAGGCGATAAATTAAAGCTATGTTACGTATTAATGAAACGACGCAGTATCAATGAACACTGATATTTGTTTTGTTTCTATCAAGTTTTTCCAGTGTAGCCTATTATTATTATATTATTATTATTCTGCTCATAAAGAAAACAAGCTGGTGCATAAATCCAATTTATTATCTGATGAAGTAAATCAAATGGTAATTATTATTTAATTGGGCTTTGAACTCCCACATAGATGAATTGGGCCAAGGCCCGTTTAAAAAGCCCGTTAATTTTTTTTAAAAATTGAAAAACAATTACTGCAAATTTAGAAAAAAATTCGATGGCCAGCGTTAAAGATTTAAACAGAGCTGTTACCGTTAATGAAATTTCTGAATTAGCAGCAAACAGAGCTGTATATTATACCGTAATTGAAAATAATTACTGCTGCCAGTAAGGTATTACTAGGCGCAGGCCAAAAATCTATCCATGCATTAAACCCACTTACCAAACCCGACCAAGATTCTAATATTAAAAATCTTGAAATTAAAAATTCTTCACATTTTGCAATTCCATCTCATCTCACACTGTCAGTTACTCAAATTCTCACTGCCCACTTCATTATAAATAAGCAGCACCTGCAATGCAAAAACACACACACACACACAAAAGATTCATTCAAGAATCATAAGTAAACAAAAAAAAGAAAATGGCAAAATCGGCGATGGTGGTGTTTTTGATGGGTTTGGTTCTGACGGCGAACCCAGTAAAAGCAATTGATTGTCTGAGCGTGTTCTCCAGTTTTCTTCCGTGCGCAAACTTTCTTGGGAATTTTCTGCCGATATTGCCTGGAAATCAGTGCTGCAGTTCTGTTGGTAGTTTGGTCGGTAATGGAGATATCGAGAGTTTGTGTCAGTGTTTCAGGCTTAACCCACTCGGCTCCGGTTTTCTTCCTTCCAAAGCTCAGCAGCTTCCCGATCTCTGCAGCGTCGCCACCTTCTTGCCCCTCGTTAAATGCCTGTACGTCTCTCTCTCTCTCTCTCTCTCTCTCTCTCTCTCTCTCTCTCTCTCTCTCTCTCTCTCTCTCTCTCTCTCTCTCTCTCTCTCTCTCTCTCTCTCTCTCTCTCTCTCTCTCTCTCTCTCTCTCTCTCTCTCTCTCTCTCTCTCTCTAACAGTATCCCGTCAGGAGAGAACGCTATTCCCCTTCCGCCGGCGACGATTCCGCTTACGCCGGTGTTTGAACTCCCTCCGGTGGAGCCGACGGTTCCACTTCCCCCGGTGTTTGCCCTCCCTCCGGTTGATCTGGCGGTTCCAATTCCCCCGGTGTTTGCCATTCCTCCGGTGGAGCATGCGGTTCCACTTCCCCCGGCTTTCGCCCTCCCCCCGGTGGTTTGAATCTGTTCCGGCGGCAGCAGCGGCATTAGCCGGAAGCAGAAAGACTGGATTTTTCTATGATGAGCTGATTGATTTAAGAAGAATTCAGGGGAATGCAAAATTATTCGTTCTATGTAATGTGTAGCTTCTATAGCACTACAATCTGCCGTTAATTGCATGAAATCATCAGCATTTGGAAATAATTTAATTTACATATTGTTAGTGCTTAACTATTTCATTATCAATTAAAATATATATATTATTAGCTCTTCCAACCCACACAAACACAGACACACAAAAAAAAAAAAAAAAAAATATATCACGAAAATTTCGAAACCAAACATTCGATCGATAATACACAAATCACGAAATTCCAATCGTCTTATTCAAAATCCAAAGCGTGAGTGAAAGCTGAATCGCAAATATAGTGTGTAGCCATGTCCTATCCAGCATAAATCCATACACCGTAATTCCAGCTCGATTATGCTCGAAATACGTCACTGCATTTAAAAAAAAAACGTCGTTTTTAGATTTTAGCACACAAAAATAATTATAATAAAATTGGCAAACAGAGTACAACACTCACCGAGTGCTTGTCTTTTCTGATACGACATAGTATTTGCGAAAATCGGAACGAGGTTGGTATTATCGAGAGAATCGTCTCCATCGCCTTCTTCGTCATCAAAATCCCAATTAGGAGCCACTGAGTTTCCGGCATTAGCCGAACTTAGAATAGGCGCTCTTGGAGTTTCGTCTTCTAATTCATCAAACGAGTTTATCGTAGCACACGCGTGCCACTTAGCCGCCAAAGAAGTAACCGACTGCGCTTTGTGCGTTATCTTTGCCGCACTGCGCAAACATATCAATAGCCCAGTCACTAATGTTATGGAACATAGCTGCAAAAAAACGCATCATTCAGATTCCGAATTAATTAAATAATTGGACCTTATTTGATATTTGATTAGTAAAAACAAATCAGGCCAAACCGAACATTTCACGCCCATCGTGAATTTTTGGAGAAGAAGTTATTATCTCGAAAAATTGTATAGTTGACCTTATAGTCCAACTTAGGTTGACTAGTGAGACCCGCAATCATACTCTATTTGAAAAACAATAAATCATTTTATAGTGGCAACCAAACGAGACCTAATCGGACTTAGTTTCATAAACGAGTTAAAAAAAATTACCGCGAGTTCGCCAGCTGTGGCGAGGTTGATCTTGGATCGAGGTTCGGTTGTGACAAGCAAAGAAACGAATTGACTTATTGTTACTAAGATCAAAGTGGACAAGATGAAGAGCCTAAAGCGGTGGCTTATGACGCGAAGATTTCGTCTTATTCTAAGATGTTCTAGAAGGATCGAGGCAACGTCGGATTCTCCTTCGAAGACTTGAGCGAACTCGTCCAAACGAAGTAGTTGGAGAAAACACGTGAGGCGGAAGAGGATGCATACGAGGAAACAGATGGAGACTCGATATAGCCACGAGCATAGCAAGAGTAGACAGACGATTGTGTTGCTTAAGTACATGTTGTATAAGTATGGGATTTGGTTTCCACCTGAGGTGAACCACCATATCTTGTACACACTGTCTGCAAAGAAACAGGGGAGAACAAAAGCTGACAATAGCCTCATTGATTTCTGCAAAAAACAAAAAAAAAAGATGAATTACTACAAAAAGATTTTGAGGGTTAGTTGCATTAACCACCCTTTTGTTTACTCTAATTGTTAAAAGAAACCCATTGAGTTATAAATGTTGGCATAATTACCCCTAAAAATTAGGGGTGGAGATCGGACGGATCAGATCAGAATTGACATTGTCGAGAAAAAAATCATTTTTTTTCGGAAGTGAAAAAATAATTCCAATTTCGTTCATTTTTTCTTTCTTTTTTTTTTGGAAAAGTTGGAAATTGGAATTAAGAAACTTGTTCCGAAATCGGATGCTTTCGCATCTGAATATGCAGAATTCGTAAATTCCATTTCTTTAGTCAAATATGATATAAAATATGTGATAATATTTATATTGCAAGTGTACAATTTTTGAAAATAAAAATTGATCAATAATTGGAATTTAATATGTGATAATATTTATATTGCAAGTGTGAATTTCAGAAATAAAAAATTGTATCGAAAATTGGAATTTAATATGTACTCCAATTTCTATTAAAAAAATATCAGAAATTGAAAATGCAAATTTCCTTCCAAAATCGAAAAAAAAAAGATCGGATCATAATCGACAGAATTCGGAAATTCCATACCTATTTCGACCTTTTCTAAAAATGAATCACTTGGGGTTTAGTTGTGTATTAAATAAATGCATCAAAATAGCAATTCGATATAATATAAGGGTGTTGAATGCAAATAAAATCCTGGTGCAAACATGAGTAAAGCAATAATCCCAGTCGAAGTTCAGACAAATTAAACATGGAAGAAATTAATTAAAGAAAGAGAAAGATCACCAGAGCCACTTACATGAAGCTGATCGGTGTAGCCTAATCGGACTTTTTCATGATCATCGGACAATTTATCAAGAAACAGAAATCTGCGGAGACCGTATTTCCGGGCAAAAGTGGATATGCTGACAAACGAAATCGTGGCAAACAGCGAGAGCGACACCTGTACAACTGCGTCGTACGGCCTCTGATGACTCGGATCGCAACCGGAGCAAGAGAACACAAAGTGGGACACAATCGGAACACCGACGTTCAGCAGAAAAAACACCGACCAAGAAAGCCCGGCCCGCCAGAAACTCGAGTAGTCGTGGAAGACCCATTTCAGGCCCGACCCGTAACTCTTCAGCTCGAAGCTATTGAGTTCGTGGAACGAATCTCCTGCAGAAATTGAATTCTTTTTCGGCAGCAGAATCTCTGTTATCACCTCTGCCTCCATTTTTTTTTTGGGTGTTTTTTTTTTTCAAGAAATCACAAATCTTGAATCTTGATCAATCAATCGATGGTGGGGTTGATATTTAAATATTATTTTAATGGTAAAGTTGTTGTTGTGTGTGTGACTGGCGGGGGCCCCTTTTCAACACGTACGTATTCTTTGCATCTTGTAAAGATTGACTTGTATAGTTATATTAAATGTTGTCTTAAATTCGTATACCATGCCTCGTTGTCTCTTTCATGAGTTTCATGAACACTGAATCAAGCTGTCATCTGATTTTCAAATATTACAAAAATCATAGCCCCAGGTTGCAACTGGCCAATTTTTTTTTTTTTTTTATTTATAAAGAAAATAAATCAATTATGCCACGTTGATTTGTCCTAAAAATTCAGAAAAGGAAAAGCAAAGGGAAATTAATGCACAGACTTTCACATATTGCACGGGTTGGGAGATCTCTGAAGGTCACTTTAATGGAGATCGGATGGTGAGAGAGAAATCAAATGGCGGTGATGACGTGTTGTAATAGCTGAGGGGCTGGGTTTCTATGCGGCTGACACGTGTTTGATTATCAAAGGTTGAGTCTCTGACACAAACTTCTCCTGCCTGCGCAAAAGTAGTGAAAGATCTATGTACTTGTCTAATATGAATACTCGTGTGGTCCGCAGTAGTCCCCTACAAGCATATAAATACGCACTATTTTAATTTTTTTTGATTTTTTAGTTAATTAATTAAAAAAATTGAAATAATATTGTCGGTTTATGCATACAACTCTCGTAGTTTAGAGACTATTGACAAAAGCGTGAGGTTTGCTCGGTGCAGTATGCATACAACTCTCGTACAGTTTGGAGACTATTGATAAAAGCGTGCGAGGTTATCGAGTACACACACATAGATCACCTGATATAGTTGAAGTAGGATGAACTGGAAGAGCAAATTAGATTACTATCTCAGGCACATGATAACTCTAAGATACTTGCGATCAGAGAACACGTAAACTAAGCCGGAAATTGATCCGTCAAAAACATTTGCGACGCTCAAGTAAGATATGTGGATTACAAAAGTCGTAGAGGAAACACGAACAGTTGCGTTGTTCGAATATTGAGCGTACCTTAACAAACGAGTTAAAGTTTTTATTTATACCTTGTTCATCAGACTGAAATTAATTAGTTAAAATTGATGGACCCAAACTTTATTTAAAGACTATTAAGCTTTCGTTATAGTGATCTTTAAAATTGGACTCATTGCCAAATAAGTAAAAAAATTATAGGTCCATTGGATTTGACCAACTAGCCATATGAATATATTTGGTTGGAAATTAGTTTAGTGGATTATTTATTGATATTATAGTACCCCACAGGCCACAATTAGTTTAGTGGATTTTATATTTTCAAAAAAGAAAATGTGCCAATTTAAAAATAAATAAAAAACAAAACTCATTCACACTTCGGATTTTAATTACTGGATTAATAAAATATGGGCACCTTTCTGCAATTATCTATTACCGTCAGCTGAAGCCCATATTAAAAGGCCCATATTGGCCCATACCGGTTAAAGAATATTCTGTGAAGTCGCCGCGGTTAGCACAAAACAAGGGGTTAATTAATATCTTGTGCTAATAAGGACAAAAGTATTTGATATTTCGAATTAGTCCCCCATAACAGAATCTTCTGACACCAAATTCCCCCAATTCTTTTTTTACTTTGCTTTCTAATCGATGTATATAAATATATTTCTTTATTTGGATACAAATTCAGAATTTCTCTTGTTTGTTTTGCCGGTAAGGAAAAGTCGCCTACTGAACTTCCATTTTTAGATTTTCAACCAGCTCAAATGAGCAAGTTCTAGGCGGCGGAGCTATTTCGAGAGGAGCAACAATTTTTTTTTTTTTTTAAAATGGCAATTTCTGTTTCTTCCTCCGTGGTTTCGGGGATCTCAATTTCAGCCGGCGCCGCCCTCTCTTTCCAGAAATCCAAGGATTTGGGATTTTCTTCACTTCTGTGTAATTCTGTAAAACCTCTTCGTCTGAATAGCTATGCTTCGAATAGCAGATGTCTCTCCGCTTCGCACCGGCGCCTCTCCAGGTACTATTATCATTTGTTGATAGTCCTCTTTTCCTCACTCGTATGTTGGTGATTTGAATTTGTTATTCGTCGGGTTTTAGGTTTTTGGTTGCAATTCTGATTGGTTTGTTACGAACTCTTCAGATTATAGAAATGAATCACAAGTGAATTAAAAAAAAAAAAATAGAGTTTAGATTGGAATCGATATTAAACTGAATTTTCGATCAAATATAGCGAGAAAGAACACCATGATGGGAGTAGTACCTTTTTTTTTGCTGCCAATGAAGATTTAGTATTCTCAGAAAACATAGCTTGGGTGTAATTATTGATTCGGGTGAATCGAAATAAAATTAGATTTGCCTGGTCACTATATACCATTCTTCTTTATAATTTTCACTAGTTCAATGACTGGAAGATGTGCTGAATTCTTGACTCTTATTGATTTTCTACGTAATCCTATCATTACTCTTTGACTCTTGAGTTATATGTGCACTGTTTGCTTTGTGATTTCAAAGTAAAAGGCTATTTCAAGTTCGAGCAACAATATTGCAAGAGGATGAAGAGAAAGTGGTTGTGGGGAAGTCATTTGACCCGAGAAGTTTCCCAGAAAATGAAGGAGAAGGAATCTCCGATGAATCGCCAGATGGTTCACCACCTTCCAGTGGTTTGGAGAAGTGGGTTATAAAACTTGAGCAATCTATAAATATTTTGCTCACGGTACGCATATTCTTTTTTACTTCCTTTAATGTCTTAGCATGCACTCTACAGTTATAAGTAACTCAATACTTGCTACTCGTGATCTTTGCTATATGAGCTAATTGATAACAACTACGTATATGCTTTGCTAGCCGAGGTTTTTGTTTGATATAAAAAATAATGCTAGTCTACTAGAATTTCTGGTTCAAGTCTCACGCTGTTTTATGTATGGCACGCACGGTGTTCTGTTTTCTGATTATTATTCAAAATTGACCATTTCAGGATTCAGTGATAAAGATCCTTGATACCTTGTACCGTGATCGTGATTATGCAAGGTTTTATGTTCTGGAAACTATTGCGAGGGTTCCGTATTTTGGTAATGACTTGAACTTTATATCATTATCCTAATGACTGTTTTGGTGTAGAAATTAGTAGACGTCGTACAATTAAGGGACATCTGCCAGTCATGTTTGGTCACTTTCGTTTTGTGTTCATTCATATCATTTTTCATCCAACATGATCAAATATGTCAATCAAATTATTGAGAGATAGGCATCACGTTTATACCGTTTTCCGGAAAGCAGAGGACTACCTATTCTATATCCTAACTATCAGCCAGTGACATAATATTCTATGTTTGGCTTGTTTGCAATTGTTCTATTTTTAATTTGTTTTAATATTCTTTACCTTTCTGATGAGAAGCTGTGTTTCTCTTTCTGATATCATGGCAGCTTTCATGTCCGTTCTGCACATGTACGAGAGTTTTGGATGGTGGCGAAGAGCTGATTATATAAAAGTTCATTTTGCCGAGAGTTGGAATGAGATGCATCATTTGCTTATTATGGAAGTAATACCCCCAATAAAAAATTTCGATACGTGCTGTGAAATTTTATTTTATTTTATTTCGGTTCAATTTCTTATTTGAGGTTTAAGGCTTTGTTTTGTTTCTTGTTTTTCTCTTTTTTTGCAGGAGTTAGGGGGAAACGCTTGGTGGTTTGATCGGTTTCTCGCTCAACACATTGCAGTCTTTTACTATTTTATGACTGCTTTCATGTATGCTCTGAGTCCAAGAATGGCATGTAAGTATGAATTTGATGCTAATGATTTGTAGCAGTACCGGATTTTCCGTGTTGTTTCCATCCTTAGATAAATCATTATTTAGATGGAAATACAAAAAAGATGTTTGAATAACCATTCCAAGTTGTTAAAAATGTATATGCACACCCCTTCCTCCTCAGATATTAGCAGTCTACTTTACTTAGAGAAGATTACTCTATAATATTTTGAATTGATTGTAATTAATTTCTGCAGATCACTTCTCCGAGTGCGTGGAAGGTCATGCCTTCGAAACTTACGACAAGTTTATCAAAACTCAAGGAGGTATGTCTTTTGTAAGGTCACTGCGTTATTAGCCCTGCACACTGTTGTTACAAACGGGCTTAAAAATGGAATGTAGAAAGGAATATTCTCATTTTCTAGGGGAATTTTGTAACATCATATTCTCATGATATTGCGAATTGTGGTAACATATTTTATTCCATATGCAGAGGAGTTAAAGGACTTGCCTGCACCTGCAGTTGCAGTCAAATATTACACCGAAGGTGACTTTTACTTATTCGGTGAGTATTTATTATCAGTTTCTACTTCTCTCTTTTATTTTGCAGCTTTACTATCAAAGTTTAACAATTCTTAATCGCTAAATTACTTCACCAGATGAATTCCAAACTTCAAGACCTCCCAACTCTCGACGCCCAAAAATAGGTAAGTAAAATTGGAATATATTTTTAATCTTACTGAAACAATCAGGACAAAACTGACAGAGCTATCTTTTTTTTTTTTTTTTTTTAATTATTATTATTACATCCAGAGAATCTGTACGATGTATTTGTCAACATTAGAGACGACGAAGCAGAACACTGTAAGACAATGAAGGCATGTCAAACACACGGCAACCTTCGCTCGCCTCACTCTGGTCTGGATAATGCTTGTGGAGATGATGATTCAGAGTGTGTGCTTCCTCAGACAGACTGTGAAGGCATCGTTGATTGTTTAAAGAAATCTGTAAGCGAGCCTCTACCGAATAAAAAATGATACATCAAATACTTATAGCCTGAAAAATCACGGGAACATATTTATTTACTGCCATTGAATAAACGTTCGTTCGAATTGTATACGTAGGAAAAAAAGAATCAGTCGCGAATTTTAGGAGTCAGAATTATAGTTTGTTGTGTTCAAGAAAATTCTTTGTATATTTTGTTATACATAGTTTACACACACCAAATGTGTTCCATTGGAGACTCTCTCTCTCTCTCTTGATTCTCTCTCTCTTGATTAATATGGTAATTAGGCATAATGATTATGTGTTCTCTCTTGTGTATACGTGGCCATGCAGGCAAATAAATTTGTTTAAAGCAATTAGTGTTGGAATACTATGGTCAGACTTAAGCCACGGTTTTGCAAAATAATGCCTTTTCTTTTTGTGGTTTAATTAGTTCCACGGGAAACAAATCTAATTGGAGATTTCGACGCTCCTTGCCTCCTTGGATTTAATTTTTTATTACAAAATTATATTTTTTATATTTATCTTGAGGACTTTAATTTCTTCCATCTTTAATGGCTTGTAGCCTTGTACTATATGCACCAACTTGTATTTATTGACTTTGACTAGTGAATATATAAAAGCTCGTGTCAAAATTTTCAGATACTTGGCACAAAATATACCCACTTGGTTAGTGTTTAAAATTAATCAAGTTACTCGAGTTGAGATTTATTATCAAATAAATATTTACTGCAAAAAAAAAAAATCTAATTTATGTACTAAAGTATACATACTCTTTTAATTGATTTAAAAAATATAGTCTTTTAAATAGCTCCTTATAAACAACACTACACATAAGATTGAACCCAAGACATCACACCACAATAATGTGATTTGTACAACGCAACCCACAATAATTTGGTCTAAATAATAAATATATTCAATTTGAAGGCTTATAATAGGTGGCCTTATACTATGCTGCATCGGACGAAATACATCCAATAAAAAATTTACCCACTATAACATTCATCGGATGTATAAAAAGAAGGCATGCTAATCAACGGAGGTGATGCACCGATAAAATATAAAGAAATTCAGAAAATTCAATTTCAGTTACGTTAATCGCATGAATTATTTGAAATTTTATTATAACAGAAAAATTAATAAAATATTGAGAAAGAATAGAATATACTGTAAAAGCGCACAACTTCACGCATATTTTTATTTAATTTTTAATATTTGGTTTGTCGATTGTGAATGAGAAAAAGGAAAACACCCGCCTAACGTGGTTCTTTCTTACCCATATAATATTTCCTCTCCTTCTCTCTCAACAAACCCACACTCACAAAGTAACCGCCTCCTCTCTTTTGCTTCGATCATTGGGAAAATATCTCTGTACATACACACACCCATTACATACATAAATACAGCCCTACCGATACCAGAAATCGCCCCCTTCTCGCAGATTTAAAGCAAATGGGAGGCGGGACCACTTCAATCGGAGCTATGGTGCCCACGGTGGCGAAGTCCGAGTCGGCGGATTCCGCCGCCGAAGCGGCGCCGGCTCCGCCTCCGCCGGCGATTCCCCCGCCGCAGTCGCTCGATGCGTCGGAGATGGAGCAGGAGGTGGATAAAGATATCCTCTGCCCTATATGCATGCAAACCATTAAGGATGCGTTTTTGACGGCGTGTGGGCATAGTTTTTGCTACATGTGTATTGTGACTCATCTTCAGAACAAGAGTGATTGCCCTTGTTGCTCTCATTTCCTCACCGCCAACCATCTCTACCCTAATTTCCTCCTCAACAAGGTTTTGCTTTTGCTGCTTCCTTTTCGTTTTTACTAGAAAATGTTGTTAATTCATTTGTTTTTTCACATTATATTCACTCGGTAATTTGGTGACTTCGGAGGCTGCATTTGTGTAATTTTGTGTGTAATTTTGAAATTGAAGATACTTTTTAGACAATTTTTTTTTTTTTTTTTTTTGTAAACTCGTCTATGATTATGGTAACGTTGTGATGTTGTGTATCAAATTAACCTTAAAAAATTATGTTTACCCCTTCTGCTGAAGGAAACATATAAATGATTGAATGCGTAGTAGTGAACTTTCAATGATGCAATAACATAAGAAAATCATTTTGTAATTAGGGAATTATTAGTGGATATGATTGACCATACTTGCATTGACCATATGATGTTGTATGTTTGAAACCGAACCGACACTGAGCTTATGTGTGCTTTGACTTGTAGTTACTGATGAAGAATTCTGAACATCAAATAGCTAAAACTGCCACACCTCTGGAACAACTTCGTCTGGCGTTGGAACAGGTCAGTTATTTGCTGATGGTAACATTTTATCTTTTGTTTTATCAGAAGGCAATTGAAACGTTGATGAGTTATAATAGTGGCATCTATATTTCAATCATCACTACTCTGTGTCGAATAAAGATTGTGTTTCCAGTTGTTACTCATCCTCTGGTTGTCAGCCAATGATTAAAACATTCTTTACTTCTGTCGTTTACTGTTCATCTACTTCATGCATATTTTCTGTAAACTGACTGATATGATATTTTGACAGGGGTGTGAAGGATCGGTTAAGGAGCTTGAGAGCCTATTATCTCTTCTCTCAGAGAAGAAAAGAAAAATGGAGCAAGAAGAAGCTGAGACAAATCTACAAATTATGCATGATTTTTTGCATTGTCTTAGAAAGAAAAAACTTGACGAGCTCAATGAGGTAGTTGTACTTGATTTTTTTGCATGGTGTCTTGCGCTGCACAATAATAAACTTCTTGGTCTTTGTATAAGTCAACGTTTCTGTATGTGATGGTTCATCACCTTGAGACTCGTCAAGAATTTTGGTTTCTTCTTTCGGGCTGCATGATGACGAGTCATTATTCTACACACAACTTAAAAAAAAGACAAAAAATTGTTCACCTGTTTTTAGTTTTTTCATGCCAGTTTTCTTGCAGATACAATCCGACCTTCAGTACATAAAAGAAGATATATATGCTGTAGAGAGACGTCGAATAGAGTTGTTTCGGAGAAGGGATAGATACTCCGCAAAACTGAGAATGCTTGGTGATGACCCCTCTTCAAAATCAGTGTGGCCGCCATCATTAGTTGACGAACATAGTGGTGGCACCGTCTCTAGAACTGCTATTATGCCAGGCCTGGGCCACATGAGTTCAGGTGGTCAGAAAAACAGAAACAGCGAAGCAAGATCTTCTGCGAGTCATTTAATAAGGAAAGATAATCTTAGTGGGTCAGACAACCAAAATCTTACTCAATCCGGACTGGCTTTAGTAAGAAAAAGACGTGTTCATGCACAGGTCAGCAATCCTTCAACCTAATGAATCTGAAATTTTAGTTGGCTTTCAACCTCCAAAATCAACTCGCCAGCTTGTGCTGTTTTATTGCTGTGGAGACATCGTCTCAGCTATTGTAAATTAAGTTAAACATTCACCATGGGAAATGTCAACATGGTTTGATAGTTTTATATTGACTGTTATTCTTTTACCATATCGATTGTGACAGTTCAACGACCTACAAGACTGTTACTTGCAAAAACGGCGATATTGGGCGAGACAAACGCCAGAACAGAGAGAACGTGATTCGCATGGCTTATTAAATAGAGAAGGTTACTCTGAAGGGCTTGAGGATTTTCAGTCTGTACTATCAACATTCACAAGATACAGGTATTCCTTCCCAAAAATTTCCAAGTTTTTCTCATTGTAACACCCAGTGCCCACTCACTCTCTAACTGTGCTTCGTTGGTTTATTAGTCGATTCCGGGTTGTGGCTGAGCTTAGACATGGAGATCTATTTCACTCGGCTAATATTGTATCAAGGTAAGTGGTTTTGCTGCATATGCCATTTATTCATGGAATCCTTTGTGGGATTTGTGTCTGAATAAGTCCTCTTTTGCAGCATAGAATTCGACCGAGATGATGAATTGTTTGCTACAGCTGGAGTATCTCGGCGTATCAAGATTTTTGAGTTTGCATCAGTAAGTTCTTGAGAATGGCTCTAGTTTTGTGCTGGATGCCGAAATTTTGTATTTATAGACGTGAGTTGGACCTCCATTTGATAATTCTTTGCTGAAGTGATATCTGTAGAATTAGCTTTTATCTAGAATTGTTTGCTTCATACTATATTTAGGCTGCTCAGATGCTTTGGTATACGCGTAGTCCTTTTGGTGTCACCATCGAATTGATTTATGGAAATTGCTCTGTAGGTGGTTAATGAACCAGCCGATGTACAATGTCCTGTGGCAGAAATGTCCACGAGATCAAAACTAAGCTGTTTAAGCTGGAATAAGTACGCCAAAAATCAGATTGCCAGCAGTGACTATGAAGGCATTGTAACTGTTTGGGATGTGACTACTCGACAGGTAGTGTACTTATTCTATTCAATTAATCAGTTTCTACATTTTTGTCTTGTAGACTAAAGTCAATGCTGATTTGAACTTCCTCTCGAACTATATTGTATGAATCCCTAGAGCGTGATGGAGTATGAGGAGCATGAAAAACGTGCATGGAGTGTTGATTTTTCACGTACGGAACCTTCTATGCTTATATCTGGAAGTGATGATTGCAAGGTATTTTGAATAGACATGGTTAATTATGATATATTTGATTTCCAAAATAATCGTGAAATGTTGACCAAGTTTCAAAAATTCAACAGGTCAAAGTATGGTGTACAAAACAGGAGGCAAGTGTCCTCAACATTGACATGAAAGCCAATATATGTTCGGTCAAATATAACCCTGGATCCAGCATTCATGTAGCGGTATATGCTCATTGCTTATTATGCGTTTCTTTCTTTTTAACATGCAAACCACGTAGATCAAGTTTATGAGATTGCACACTCGTGTCATTGCAGGTGGGTTCGGCCGATCATCATATTCATTACTATGACCTGAGAAAAACCAACCAGCCATTGTATGTATTCAGTGGGCATAGGAAAGCTGTTTCATATGTGAAATTTCTGTCCAGCAATGAGCTTGCTTCTGCATCTACAGACAACACATTGCGCCTATGGGATGTTAAGGAAAATGTTCCTGTAGGTTCCGGTTTTCTTAGGCTATGTTTTCTATAATTCTCTATTGCATCATTTAATTTAACAGAATAGTAACATTGAACTTGGTTTCGTGTTTTGTTCTTATGATAATTTTCAGCTACGCACATTTAGGGGCCATACGAATGAGAAGAATTTTGTGGGTCTAACGGTAAACAGCGAGTACATAGCATGTGGCAGTGAAACAAATGAAGTATACGTTTATCACAAGGTATACATGCGTTCTTGTATCTCTTGACCAGCTCCTACGTAGATCTTTCATTGTTAATAAGTATGGGATTTTCTTTTTTTATATGCAGGCGATTTCGAAGCCTGCAGCATGGCATAAATTCAGCTCGGATGTGGATGAAGGTGAGGAAGACACGGGATCATACTTCATCAGCGCTGTGTGTTGGAAAAGTGAGAGCCCGACTATGCTAACTGCAAACAGTCAAGGGACAATTAAAGTCCTTGTACTTGCCCCTTGATTCTTTCTTACAACCCTTTATATTTGGAAATATACGAAGAAAAAAAAATATAGGATTATATCCACATTAAAAGAGCAGAGTTAAGAACAAGTTTCTTTCTTCTTTGCTAAGTGATGATTATTATTATTTCTCTTTTTTTCTCTTAGGTAAAAATCATTGTGTTTGGAGATTTATAGTTCTCTGTTTTTGGAGAACTTTGTATGTGCAGATGTGTTAGTTGTCTTCAGGACTTTGTAATATAGTAGTTGTAGTAAGTGTGTGTGAGAGAGAGAACATGAATTGAATTTGTTTCTGCCTCTGTTATACTGTTTGTTCAGAAAGAGTGGATTTTATTGTATAGATGAACAAGCAATTCAAATAATGTACGAAACCTGCTTATATGCACTATCTAGCGCATACGAGCCTCGCTCAAGTAAATAAGATCAATTGCACATAAAAGTTCAGTAAGGAACAATCTAAAGATAGAAGCTTCGTTCTATTAAAAGGGCATTTGGAACCCTAGCAATGAGAAAAACTTATTTCACTCCTACGTCGCACGAGCGAGGTAAAGCCTTAAGGCGCTATGGTATGACCTCGGGTTGGGGTTTTAGGCAAGCTGAGGCTTGTTAACATATAATCGAGATTCTGGTGAAATTGGAAATTGATGCAAGAAGAATCAAGCTGACGTCATCCTGATTGATCACCTACGAGTATTTGAAATATGAAATCAATTCAAATAACGTATGAATATGAAATCACACAAACCATATGACTAAAAGTGCATCTGCAATATTCAGGCCGCCCTTGGCCTAGTCAAATTACACGACTATTGATTATTTAGATTTAGTCCTCCAAAATAGGCCTTACACTATATAATAATATATACTCTCTCTCATATTTTAATTTAGGGATTTGTCAATAAATACGTATACAATATAGTCATCAACCAACAGAACTCTTCAAAAATCCGCATCACCCTTTCTCTCTCTCTCTCTCTCTATTGGCGATAGGATCTTTCAAGATTCCGAAGAATCGAACCCTCCGTCAAATCCTAAATCCTCTCTGATCCAAAAAAAAATATATATATATATATATATTCGATTCGATTCCTATAGATACACAATATATACATTTACCCGCCATTTCGGATTCTCCGCGTTCTCGGCATGCGCAAATGATATGAGCATCCACAATTGCCGGCTTCCGATGTGTTTCGAAACCCTACGGACGCCTCTCACCTCCGCTGTCGCCGATATGTCGCCGGAAAAATCTCCTGCGGAACCCGTCAACGGAGAAGAGCATCAGTTTGTGCCGCCGCTCAATTTCTCCATGGTCGATTACGGAATATTCCGGTCCGGATTCCCCGACACCCCTAATTTCCCCTTCTTAAAAACCCTAGGCCTCCGATCAATCATGTATGGTTTCAATTCGAAAACCTTTTCATCTCTTTTTTTATTTTTCATCCGTCCATATTTATTGCAGCAAATTTGAAGCAATTTTGCTAATGCATTATTGATACTGGCAAGTAAATGATCGATATAAACTGATGCAATTGCAGATACTTGTGTCCAGAGCCTTACCCCGCCTCGAATATCGAGTTCCTCAATGCGAATGGAATTCGTCTCTTTCAGTTCGGGTTGGAAGGATCCAAGGTAATTTTAAGCTTTTGTGATTTATGTATTTTACATTTTAATTTTGTAACAGATGGAAAAGTAGGGGAGGGGATCAAATGTTAGAAATTGACCCTAATCGTCGAGGCTAAATACCAACTATCTTAATTAGGGTTGGTTTATTGAGAAATGAATGATTCAAGTATTGCAATTTCCATATGGTACAGTATTAAAATATATAAGTAAATCTATAATAAATATCCACTACATATGGCCTACGAATGGTAAAATCGTGTTTAAAGGGTGCCACTCTCTCGTTTACGTTTTATTGAAACAAATGCTTGTTCAATGTGGATATGGATATTCTCTGTTTTGTTATGTGATGGGGCTTTCCATGAATTGGGAGGATAAACTTCATGTGCAGAAAATAGAATTTAGTATATATTGATTGTACATTGTAACCGTTCTGGACAGTTAATCGTTCTGCCCTTAAGTTTCGTGTTTCTTGGCATGTAAACTCTATTACAAGCATACTATGAATTGCACAGTATTAGCGGTCTGCTAATTCCCGAATATTGTTCAAGTACGGCTGGATCTTTGAGGTATTCCTAGTAATTGTATACCTAGCCCATACAGGAAGAGTAAAAAGTTCTTCTTTTAACTTGTAAGAAAATAGAACATAACTTGTAATCATAAGGTGTTTATGATGTTTATCAGATGTTGTAGGAAAGTGTCATGAACTACGTACGTTAATTGATATCTTTTCTACGAAGTTAAGATAACTATGTGAATTATCGGAAAATATCAAGGCTATCTCATTTGATATGGATCGTCATTTGAACTGTAATGCAGGAGCCATTTGTAAATATCCCCGATGCTATAATTCATCGTGCACTCGAAGCAGTATTAGGTATGTCTCTACTTATTTTCCTTGGATGTGTATATAGGTTCTGAATCTTGTGTATATAGGTTCTGAATTTTCTTTCGATCTGTATGTAATTTTATTTTCAATCTTTTTTTTTGTGCGCAGATGAACGAAATCATCCGCTCCTAATTCACTGCAAACGGGGAAAGGTACTTGTACATTCCTTCTCTTAGAACTAGTTAGGATCACTTCTTGTTTTCTCAGTCTAACACGTGTATATATGTATGTATCTTTGCTGTTATAGCACCGGACTGGTTGTCTTGTGGGATGCCTTAGGAAATGGCAAAATTGGTGTCTGTCTTCGATTTTTGACGAGTACGTGAGGTTTGCAGCTGATAAGGCTAGAGTTTCGGACCAACGGTTTGTCGAGTTGTTCGACATTTCCAGCATCAAGCAGTTGCCATCAACAGATTCTTGTTCATAAAATTAAACTGCTCTTGCTATGCCAGACGATAAACTTGCTATATAGGAAAACATATTGTTACTTAGCTTATTAATTTCTCACTGAAATTATTGAAACATTGCTAGTTATTTTATGTTAGCAATGGTTTTATTTGATTTTAGCAATTTTCTCATGGAGTAGTTATTTTATTTTAGCAATGGTTTTATTTGATTTTAGCAATTTTCTCATGGATCAACTAAAAGGGTCATCAAATTGTTTGTCTGAAAGGGACATGAAAAAATTTAGTGAAATCCAACAAACTACTCTTTCTTATTTTTCAAATAATGCTATCTTAAATTATACCAGAATTAATTTTGGTTTATTCCAAGATATGCATTTATACATACTTATAATTTTGAATATTAATTATTTTTCACTTAATTTATATTTATGTTGATGCGGTTTTAAAAAAAATAATTTAGTCTTGATATTGTAAATAAACTAAACATTTGCAATTTAATTGCAAACAATTGAGTAACATATCATAGATCTAATAGTCAACCCAAACTTATACACTAAGGAATACTTTGCATCATTGACCTGACCATTGAATTATTGATTAAGTACATAAAAATATCATAAAAAACAAGCAAATAATTTTTAAAATCATAGTTTCATCTTTATAAAATCGACATGCCAGAGAAAGAAAAATATATAAATCTTTCCTTGGAAATATTTGTTTGAAAATAAATTAAAAGTATAAAAATAAAAACGAAACGAATTATTCAATTAACGATTTCGCATCCAAAAAGACAACATTTTTTTTAATTATCATTCTATTATTAAAGAATATATAAACAATTAAATAGGTAAATTATCTTTAGAGAAGATTTAAGAAGAAGAAAATGTGGAGGAGCAACAATCAGATCGCCAATGGAGAAAAATAACGACTGAAACGATATCTCGCCGGCATCGCTATGCCTCTCGCCCTCAGACGAGACGGGATTGAGTCACCGTCCCATTCATCAATTACGGGCAGAGGAAACTTCATACGTTGAATATGAATTAAAATATAACAGAAAAATGTTTATGCAAAAATAAAAAAAGAAATGCTGAATTTTGAATACTTTAATGAGAGCTGAGAGTATTCATTCGGCGATCTACGCCCTACGGTAGAGCAGATGAGTAGAATTGGAGCAAATTTAGGCATTATATAGAGCTGGCTGCAGATGGGAAAAAACCCTAATCGTGCTATTTGCTATAATACCCCTAAAACAATTACCCTTTTTTTTTTTTTTTTTTTTTTTTGGGGCCCAAAAACTTTTTATTCCGTTATAAAATACGAATAGAGGGTTTCGTTAAAACCTTATGGGCTAATCACAAGGAAAAAAAGTAACCCTACCTAATGTGAATAAAAGCAGCACAAAAAAAAATTTCCTAAAACCACTGGGCTAAAATAAGCCTACAAAATAAGAAAACATTAAATTTTGGTATGGGCCTTCTGGTAAAAGTACCTGAACCGGCCAATTCATTTTGTAAATAAAGACTAGGCCCAAATTTTTATTTACGGCCCACATTTTTCTGGCCCATATACTGAATAATGTAATATAGTAGCCCAAAATAATATGCGTGATCAATGATCATAACTTATTGGGTAAATTACAACAGGCCCCTCTCATTTTTTCATAATTACATTCGCCCCTGAAGTTTATAGGTTTCGTAAATTAAAACCCTTTGTAGGGTGTGGATGTAAGAAATTTACAAATTGTAGGGGCTGAATGTAATTTCTTAAAAAGAAGGGTATTAAGCTGCACTAAATAAAATGAGAGCTAAGGGATAAAATAACACTTTATTAGTACATTAAATTTCTGGGTCAATTAACACCACATAAGTCCTCTTAAGCTTTCAAACCCCAATACAACAAGGACACACACTAATTAATGATCTACCAACAAACAAAACCACACAAAATCTTAATTATTCAAATTTAATTAACACACATAATTAACACACACACACACACACACACAAATGTGACATGACATGATATTGGACATAGAGACTTAAAATAAAAAAGTTAACACTAGACACATAATTAATTACGACTCATGAAATTCACTCTAAGAATATATATATATAACACTCAAGCAGTTGCAATTGGTCCCAAATTAGCAGGGGTTTCCAAGTTCTTAAAGGCTTCGAATCTCGGCTCCTTGGCCTGGAATTTCACTCCGGCGTACAGCTTCATGTAGTCTTCGAATACGAACTTCGGGTACAAATCTTTGCTCTCCTTGTTCTCAACCAAAGCCGGTGCCGGATATATCACAGCATCGCTTCCCGGATTGTAGAAAGACGCTAGTGACATTCTTGCCCCGTCCGTCTGCGCAATCACTCTGTGCATCACACTCTTGTACTTTCCATTTGTTATCACCTTCACACAGGAAAAAAATAAATCAAATCTTGGTTTATAATTTTTACCTGAATTTCCACTTCCAATTAAAATGTATATTTAGGGAAAATAAGTAAATAATATGACTGAAATACTCTTCCAACCGAATTTCTCTAGTTGCTCTGTTTGTGAGAATTAATTGATGTTTGAATTTTGAAATATTAGTAGTTGTAGTAGTAGGAGGTGCAAAATTGTCAAAATGAAAATTCAAAGTAAGCAGTTAATTTGAAGTAAGAAAAATAAATAGATATATCTATGTATGTGTTGTAGTTGGAATTTATTGTTAGGTATTGAAGTAATAGGAGCAAAATTGTCAAAGGAAAAATCAAAACAATCAGTTAATTTAAAACCAAGAAAAATAAATAGCTTAATCTAAGTATTATAATTGAAATTATATCCCAATTCAACATTGTTGCGTCAAACTGTTAATTAAATATGTATTATAAATATTTGCATAAAACCCATAGAATACCTTTTTTTAGTGAAAAACACCCTAAATGATGCATTTATAGGTTATTAGCTACTAAAAATGGAATTATAGGGCAAACTTTTATAATACTTAAAAACACTGGGAGTTCTTTTAGTAATAGAGTAAACCCAGGGGAGTTGAATGCAAATTGGTTGATTAATTACCTCAAGTTGGTCGCCGATGTTGATGACGATGGAGTGGCGCATGGGCGGCACGTCGACCCAATCGCCGTCCTTGAGGAGCTGAAGGCCGCTGACTTTGTCGTCCTGGAAGAGGAGGATTATGCCGCCGGCGTCGGTGTGGGCACGGAGGCCCTTGATGAGGTCCGGCTTGGGGCACGGCGGGTAGTTGCTGACCTTAGTGCCGAAAGTGGGGCCCTTTGACCCATAGAAGGCCTTCTTCAGGTAACCTTTCTCCAGTCCGAGATTCTCGCACAGCAAATCCAGAAGCTTCTCCGCCAGTACCTCCAACTTCCCCGCAAATTCCTTCATCACCTTCCTGCACATCATGATCCATGAGTCCTCATTAATTATTAATTAATTAGAGATATATATATCCTAGAGAGAGAAACATTATTCTAGAGAGAGAGAGAGAGAGAGAGGGGGAGGGAGAACCTGTATTCGTCTTCGAGATCGGGGACTTCAGAGATATTGGAGATGGGGAGATGGCGGAGGAAGAAGGTGCTCTCCCAATCCAAATCCTCGATCTCCGATTGGACGGCGTCGAGTCCTTTGCTCGCCACCATTTCCTTGAAACGAGCTTCCATGGATTTTCTGTAGTGCTCCTTCGTCAGCTTCTCCACCCTGTCCATAAACTCCGGAGATATTCCATGGTTCACCAGCTACACACACACACACACACAAAATTACAAAAAAAAGAAAAAAAAGAAAAAAATCAGTATGAATTATGTGTGTGTATAAATATATACCTCAAAGAAACCCCAGTTAGCGCAGGCATCTTCGATCAACTCCATTGTAGCAGACCTTTCGTCGCCGTTGAGTTTCTCCATGTTAACAACTGGAAAGGTTGCCATTTTCTCTCACACTGTGTGTGTGTGTTTTTTTTTCTGAGTTGTATGTATTAGTATTAAGCTTGAAGAAGTAGTTACTTGTGTGAGTATGAGGGTCCAATTGGAGGACTATTTATAAGGGTGTAAGTGTCCGGTTTTCTTTTTTTTTTTAATTTGGACGTGAATTATTTGAATATAATGTTTATCCGAAGTGCAGTTAACAATTTAGACCACATTATTATTATTGATTTAGGCGCGCACGCATGCTAATTGAAATGTTTAACTATTGTTTTAAGTTTCATCAAATATTGTTGAATAATCTAATTATACCATGTTTTTCACTGTACATTATTTTAAAAACAAACTACGTGTATCCAATTTCAATTCGATGCATTAGCTATCTTTCATTTCATTTTCGAGATGCAAGTCACGAATACACTATGCTACACTAATTACAAAAAAAATAAAAATAGGTAATTAAAGACATCAAGTTAAAAGGATATTTCAAAAAAAAAAAAAAGCCCAAAAAAAAAGATAAAAAAATAAAATAAAAACATGACTTATCATTTATTGCGCAAACCTAATATATAAAGAATAAATTAATAATATGGTCAATTACTGTCATCCCTTAAATAAGATCAAATTAAAAAAAATAAAAAATAAAAAGTATTTATGTTTGGATAATTAAAATCACACCCCTTAATTATGAATTTTCTTACACTTTCATCTTTATGGTGTTAAATTTAGTGGCATTTTCTACATTATGTTGAATATTCCCTAGTTTGTAACTATTTTACACCATTTGAGCTCCACATTTTGAAAAAAAATGATCATAAAATGTGTCTCTTGACTTGTATATTTCAGATTGTGTTGTATCGTACACTGTATTTTTGCTCAAAAACGAGTACAAACTAGATAACATTTCACGGAATTTATAATATTATGTTGAATTTAATGCCATAAGGGTGATCCTGTAAGAAGATTCATAGTTGAACATATGGATGGTTCATTACTGAAAGTTAAAGGATTTTTTTCATAATTTAACCTTACTTCAGCGGGCGGTCTGTAATTTAGCGTGAAATAGAATTAAAATAAAGAGTTGTAGGGAAATCCAAATGTGAGTGGGAACAAGAGTCGTGGAGGATGTATGTCAGTCACATCTTATGGACCCCTACAAAATTTGTATATATGAAAAAATAAGGCTGAAGCCCAGATTGGAATATATTGATAAATTTGATCCAATCTCTCTTATGTTTGGTTGTGGGGTAGGCCCCATCTTGACCAGTGATGGCTCTTCCTTCTACTTGCTTCCTACTTTTCTTCGCCTAATTTCTGACTACCTGCCAATACACCTTTCCCATTTTTCATTTTTTTCCTTTTTTTTCCTTTTTTTTCCATGCACGCGCCTAATTTTGCATGAAATATCACATTTTTTCAAAAAAAAAAAAAAATTTAATTACTTCATTTGTTCCATAATTTTCACTCAAAACTTCATTTAAATTTTCAAGTCAAAGTGCTTTTAAATTTCTTTAGATAGCTTCTTTTGGAATGTGCAAGAGTTTCTAATTTATATTTGAATCTATATATTAGTTTTACAATTGGGGTTTTTACATATTATGGACAATAATGCAATTAAATGTCATGTGATATTAAACCTCCTCTCGTTTTTATTGGTAATGAGGAACCGACAGCTACATTTGTGCACTAGGTAAATTAAAATTCGAGGGAGGACCATGGCACTACACTAACTTCTCCACTGACACTAGTTAAATTTCAACCGTGTGCATTAAGCGAAAACGATAATTGGCAAGGGACAACGAATTAATTCGGATCATTCGAGATTTGTATTAGGAGGAAAATATAAAATAAATTGAAACAAAAAATTAGAGAAAGTAAGGACAATGATATACTTGGTCGGGACAAACTTGCATAGAATTTTCATCCCACTAATTAAATTCATAACTTTTTTACTATTATTATATAAATTCTTTTTGCTTTTTTAACTTGCTTTGTAGCTCAATAATTAGGATTAGAAAGCGTGCACATTTCGAGTTTAAGGCTTATGTGGTGGTGGCTAATTAATACGTATTTAGACACAATAATCACTCATTTTGCAAATTGCTTACAAAAGTAATTAATGTCGGCAATAGGCTCCTCACCTTATTAAAGAAACGATTGATAATTTTTGGGATTTTTCTAATTGAGTTTTCACTATTAATATTGAATTTCTGATGCAAGTTGTATTGTGATATTGTCGTCTGTAATTATTCCATTTGTTTATTAGTAAATGAATTAGTTTAATTATTATTGGCGTAAGCCCACTTTGAATTCTTGAAACATAGGTCTTAATTTGACATTTTGCACCCTAAAAAAGAATTAATAGCACTTTACACCCTCGAAAAAAATTAATAGCACTTAGCATCCTTGAAACATAATAAATCACGCATAATGCACTTCGAATGAACTTTATATATTCAAATCAGGGTGCATTGTGAATGATTCATTGTGTTTCGAGAGTACAAAATACTATTAATTTGTTTCAAAGGTGCAAAATGCCAAAATATTATATTTCAAGGGTACAAATTGGAATTAAGCCATTGTTATTTTATCTTCTTTCTGAGAGGGGCAAGTAGGAATTTGTTACTATTCAGACCATTTCAACGTAAAAGCCAACAAAACATTAAGAACCAGAAACTTCCCAATATATTTCAAATTAATATTTTCAAATTTCGGCCACATTTTAAATGAGCAAATTTGCCTACAACTTTGCCAAATAAAATAAAAGGTCTGCTTGTTAAATATTAAAAATAAATAAATAAAAGATTTAGGTAAATTCCTATTAATACTGTAATATTTTTAAACATGAATTTTTCTAACCTCTAATCCTAATTTGCAACTTACTAAAAGATTACTGGTTTAAGCGAAACTGGATAAAATTCTTTTCCATCCAATAAAATATACTCCCACCTTAATCCATTACATTATTATCACATTTGCACCTAATACACTTTGTTCATCAATCTGTCAGTCATTTATTTGAAAAAATACAAAAATAAATAAAAATAATAATAACAATAAATAAATAAAATAAACAGAGGAAATAATTGATCACAACTGCCAGTGGCCACAGTTATGGACCCATTTAAACAAAGACACATCCCACATATATCAACATCAAACAGACTAATAGTTAGCTTCAATAATCCCCAATTTTTTACTTTTTCTTTTTATTTAAATAAATAAAAATAATAATAAAATAAAAAATAATTATCCGAATTTATTAGAGTGGGAATATGATACTGATATTTTGTTGCTACGGTGAATCCTCTTTAATGGTGAGTTCCCACCATATGGGACACACTGTATCTAGACATGGGCAAAGCATGTATACTACGTAGCAGCACGCCTATACCATATGATTTATAGTTGCATTTGCAAAACACGCTTTTTCCTTTAGTAGATAACAACTTTTGCCTTTCTTGTGTTTTTCTTAATCAATCAATCCACAATCCACACACTTTTTTTTCCAATTTTTCAAACATCCCCCAATTCATTTCATGTGTACATAACCTAGCTCTATCAAGAACCGGCCTCTTTTTTTTTTTTTTTTTTTTTTTTTTTTTTTTTGGTGGTGGTACGAGATTTAGTGGAGTTTCGAGTCGTTCTTGACCAACCACATGCGAGCGAACGTTTTTTTTCTTAAACATTAGATTATTGCCTGAAATAGTTGTGTCTTTAGATCTTATGTGTGAGAAAGAGTGGGGGAGTGTTATCTGATTTTGTGTGTATATGTGGATAGTGACACTCTTTTGCCTAGAAATTAAATTAAATTTAAATAAAACAAAGCGCGCGCGTTTTTGTAGTTCAAAGAAAGTGGCCATGGTGGAGTGTGGAATCACTCATTTATTCTTGGCCTCATGATTGCGATCTCTCGATAAAACTCAGTGGTCCACCCGCGGCACTCTCGTTAAATACAAAACAAGTGATCGACAACAACTTTTATCGAATTCGATTCTAATTCATCCTTCGTCCTTGTCTTTGACTCCCGAATGTTTTTTTCTTCGAAAATTGTGACCGCGTTTGAAATAAACCAAAAAAATAAATTAAAATACCCACCTTTGATACTCAATTTTTTTTTTTTTAAATTCCCAAGACCTTAGAGCAAATGCCTAATTGTTTGGCTAATTAATCTGTAGTGGATCGAAGAGATCCTCGAATTTGAGCAGTATATATATATATATATATATATATATATATATATATATATATATATATATATATATATATATATATATATATATATATATAATTATTTGGGAGATGAATTTAATTGTTGATAGGGTTGGAATGTCTTTATGAAGCTAAGGTGGAGCCTGTACATTTATGCTTGTAGTTCAAGATTGGCATCTTTCACAAAAATGGAGACCACATCAAAAAATGAAGACGAAACTCATATATAATATAGAGATTCATAGAACCGAAGACCAAATCCAAATTTCGGCATACGAATTACGACAAGTTTATTTTCTCGCATGACATTATATTAGTCGGATTCTATAATGTGGATAAAATTAAAGCTCCTAAAAAATCTCAAATCAATGGTTGGTAAAAAATTCAAATAATATATCTCTAAGATCAGACCGGTTCCAAGGGGACGCTGCATTGGGGCGCGTTTGAGTTGTTCTTCAAATCTCGCCTACAGCCCCCGAATTCTCAGGAACGGCCCTGAATAAGATCATACCAATTTGCTTCGTACATGAAATAAAAAATATTTCTTGGGATTGCAATGCGTGATTTCTTCTTTAGATAACAAATATTCTTATAACTATTCAAAGCCTTATTGATAGATAGATAGATTCTTAATAGGGGTGAAAGTCGGATGGATCGGATCGGAATTAGCCTTTTCGGAAAATTTCCAAAAAAATTCGGAAGTACAAAATCAATTCCAACTCCAATTCCAAAATTTTCGGAATCTAAAAATTCATTCCAATTCCAAATGTCCCGGAATTTTCGGAATTTCGGAAAAAAATCGGAAATCACATGAGCTTAAAAATTTCAAAATTTAGCGGATTTTTTTTAAAATGTTCATAATTTTTCAAAAATAAGAACATCTACGTCGATAAAAGTAAAACTAATAACTACTAAATTTCAGTTCAAAAAATAAATAAACATAAACACAACATAATATCTAATAAAACTTTTAAGAACAATTCATTATGTCAAAATCCTAAAACATAACTTAAAGGTGTATTTTTCGGAAAGATAAGTATTATATAATATTTATTATTTATAGGTGTATTTTTCGGAAAAACATCGGAATTAATTTCGGAATCAAATCGGATCGGAAATCGGAAATTCCAAATTTATTTTATATAATTCCAATTCCAATCCAAAAAAATCGGAAAAATTCGGAAGTTGGAATTTGGGAAGTCGGAATGAAAAAAGTTGTTCCAAAATTGGAACTTTTCGGATCGGAACCGGCGGAAATTGGAATTTCCGTTCCAACTTGCACCCCTAATTCTTAATAAGAGAACAAATTTTATTTGCAATTTGGCAATATTCATCCATCAATTCTCAAAAGTGAACAACCCCCTAAAAGCAGATACGTGTATAACTAGAAGTGCTACTCAATTGAAATAGCTGCTTTTCTGCATTATTTTTTCTTAATGATCTTTTTTTTTTCTTTTTCACCGTCACACGAAAAATGAAACACACACACACACACACACATATATAATTATATATAATGCATGTTGATGATCACCGCGAAAATTGAAGAGGAAGACCCACTTGATCTATTTTATATACGTTCATCAAGGAGTAGTTGTCATTTTCCCACTTATTGCATGTGTTTCTTTTTTTCTTTATTAAGAAGGTAAATATTCTACAGGATTAAAACTAGCCACCTAGATATTATTTCGTTTTGTCTGGTCAATATTGGTCGTTGGATCGCAATCTTAGATCTTGACGGCTGCTCTACTCTAATTAATACGGTTACCTCCATACTCCATTTTAATTACTAGTTTACCCTTCCTTCAACAATATTGGGTCAGCTTGCTCTAATATTGTTTCAAATGAATATTTAGACGATGCAGTAATTACAAACACCCTTTCAATAGATCAAAATACATAACACAGATAAATTTCCATGATATATTTATGAATATATTTTTTATATTTTAAAAAGTATTTACAATTTTATAATTTTTCACTAAATTTGTTTCTGGCGTTTCAAATAATTGAGTTGAGGCCATAGGCCCATAAGCCAGCCCCATGATTTTGTTACTTATTTTTATATACTTTGGTCTCAAGAAAAAATACCCATCTCATTATAGATGATGTTGGGCTACGTGCATATTGGGCCAACTATAGTGATACGAAGCCTGTTAAAATAAGTTTGACCATTATTAGTTTTTTCAATTATTGAACCCTCTATTGGTCCCTTTGATTTGCTTTAGATTAGTATATAATGATTTAATTGATTTTGCACTGGGTAAACCTACAGTCTTCTATAATAGTTTGCAGATCATATGAAAAATGTAAATCACACTAGATTAACTATGTGTGACAATTTCACCTAATTACCGTTGGCTGAAAATTCGAAACTAGATCAATTGACGCAAACTCAATTGCTTTAACGACTAGACATCCATTACGGAAAATGATTTCACTGATTTGTAATCGGATTAACACACAAGTTTCACGTAATAGGGTCCTTTGAAATTAGTAAGATACTAAGAAATGGGAAGTTTTCAACTATATTTCAAGTTTCAATATGAATAATTGAATCAAATCATTATGTATAGGTGTGCCTAATCCTATTTTATTTTTGTTGCTAATGATTGAAATGATATCCTATGTGCCTATGTAATATCATATTCAAGGGCTATCTAACTTTAATCAAATAACTTTGCCTTGTGACAATATTTAAATTAGTCATAATTGCAAGGTTAAGAGAATAGAGTTGAGTGTAATTTTATTTTGCAATCATTTTCCAAGAGGTAGAAGAGTCTTCTCAAAAAACATGTGTACACTCCGCAACAATGGTTGGACCTTCAATCGAATTTTTTAGCAACAAATTTAATTTTATTTTATTTATTTCAGTATATGTCGAGAATCTCGAGAATCGAACGGTTGCAGAGGGGACAAGTCCCTCGGTTCAACCACAGCTCCCTCGAACACACCCTGCAAAAAGTGTGTCCACACGGTATGAACGCTGCACCCCTTTTCCTTCCCATGCACACGCAGCACACCGAATCGCACCCCCCCTCCCCATCTACCTCTCTCCTCATCTCCAAATCGTAGCCGTCCGTTTCCTCCAGCAGCCTCATCAGCGACACCCTCGACGGCGTCCCCGGCGCCGTTACCGAAACGACGCGGTTGTGCCGCGGCGGACTAGGGCTGAGACTGGCGCCTCCGTTGTCGGAATCCAGCGCCGCCCTCATCTGCCTCTCCGCGGCCAGTGCTGCCGCTAGGTTCATCCCGGTCGTCGCCGGTGACTGAAACACGCACGGTGGAGATGCCCCGGTTTCCGTCGGATTCTGGTCAACGTTGACCACGTCAGTTTCTGGACTCATCGTGTCAGCAGTACCTTCTTCTTCCTCTTCTTCTTCTTGGTCATCATCCCTCACGCTTATGGTGGTGGGCCCCAGTCCCCACGTCGATCCGCAGCAGCCGAAAGCCTTCAATCCCAGCCGCTCTTTCAGGCTCGGCCTTGATCTCACCGTACGATCCTCGCCGTCCATGCTTTCTCTCAAAAGCTCCACCACTGTTCTTGCTCCTCTTTCCAATTCTACCCTCGCCTGTAACCCTAAACCCAATAGCTCACCTATTTGTTCCATTACGCTAATTAGCACAATCAAACAGACAAAGATAATATATTCGGAAACACACATATATAAACCAGCCAATTATATATACATACACACACATATATATATATATATATATATATATATATATATATATATATAGATACAGATAATAATAAATGCATACAAAAGAAAGTGGTGAAGGAAATTATACGTACTGAGAACGAATCACGTGAATAGTAATCAAGATTCTATCTTCTAAATTTCAAGAATGAGAGCAGCTGGCCGCCATTAACGCCACCACCACCGTCTCTGTGATTCAATTACACACACGGAAGCTATTAATTAATGGTGGAAGTGGTCCAAAGAGAAAGCGGGTTTTCTGGAAATTAAATCAACAGATTAAAAAAGAGCGATTCTTTAATCTCTCCAGTCGGAGACAAAGAGAGGGAATATTTCTCGATGCTGGAAATTTGAAGAGGAAAGAAAACAAACGACAAAATAGAAACAATTGAAAGAGAGAGGGAAATCAAAGAAAACTAAAGAGGGAATAAAATGGTGGGGTCTTTTGGGCGGGATTGAGTCTTTTCTTGTCAATAATTTACTTAATTAATTAGTTCATATTACAAGAACAAGATGAGTGATTAGTGAGTAATTAATAGTTTAATGTATAATATAATCAATGTATAATATATATTAGTGTTAATAATTCTTGCAAATGTCGCCGGCCATGAACTAAGTCAAAAGCCTTGCTAGTAGTAGACACGTCCATCGATGCCTTTTGCCCCATGTGGCAGTTGCCTTTTTCTTTCAGACATTTAATCAAACACTAGCCGGACTGGAAATATGTACTTGTATTTGTCTATTTCTTGCTAGTCTTTTTCCTTTTTTTTTTTTTTCATTTTTAATGATAAATAATCTAGTTTCCTGTTAGTCGCGAATGAGATAATTGCTACTATATACTAAAATATTTCAGAAAAATTAAGGCATAAAAGAATGTATGTAGAGAGAGGAGCAGAATAATGCAGAATTGCAAATAACTGAATAAGACAACTTCAAAGAATGTAGTGCACCTAATGTATTTTTATCTAATTTTTTAATTATTATTTCATGGTTAATAATGTATTTGTACTTTGTTGACCAATGGGGTTGATTAATCTTCAACAACTACAACAATTTTATATTATTTTGTACTCGTTTTCGAATTATGTTTTAAATTCCAGATTTGGCGTGACACAATCAATCATCGATCTGGCATTATCAATGATCACCAATTCAATTTAGGCTTAATTCCACTTTGCACCCTTGAAATATACCATTTTGGCACTTTGCACCCTCGAAAAATAATAATAGCACTTTGCACCCTCAAAACACAATAAATCATTCACAATGCACCCTCAATTGAATAATAAAGGCAATTTCATTTTTCATTGGTGTTTTTATTTTCCGAGTACAAAATAAAAAAAAAAATTGTTATTTTCTTGAACTTCAAACCTAATTTCGAGCGGACAAAGTGCGAAAAAATAAAAATTACACCGGAGTATTAAAAAAAACTACATTTTCTTACAAAAGAAAAATAAAAAATAAGCTTTTATCACTAAATTATTCGATTAATGGATCTTTTATGTAACTGTTTAAAAATATTAGGTGAAAATATTTAGAAGGAAATATGATTTTCAGATAACTTGATAACGGAATAGCTGAATGATTTTTTTTCGTAAAATATTTTATTTTGATAAAAAATATAATTTTTAAATATGTTGATGAAATGTATTTTTATTCTTAAACTTTATAGTTTCAAAATGATTGATGAATAAAAAAAATATTTGACATTTGGCGTTCTAAAAAAATATCACTAAAAATATTAGATTTATATTTTTTAGCTTTAAAAATTCATTTGGGGTGCATTATGCATGATTTATTGTATTTCGAGGGTGCAAAGTGCTATTAATTTATTTCGAGGGTGCAAAGTGCCAAAATGGTATATTTCAAGGGTGCAAAGTGGAATTAAGCCATTCAATTTATAATCATAGTTATATATATATATATAAAAAAAATCTTAAAGGGCCTTTCGGGCTCTAAGCCCACAAGAGGTGGGCTAAATGAAAAAATGTAGTTTTAACTAAGGGCTTGCAGGCCCAAATATGCTGACACTACACAAATTTAATTTGCAGATGGCATTGTGCAAAAATAAAAAATTAAAAATTAAAAATAAAAATCAATTTTTGGCTTTTATTTTCTTGTTTTCGCTTTTCTTATGATAAATTGATTTAAATGTGGGTTGGCCGTTGGTAGGTGGGGGGTAATTGGGGTAGGGGCCCGCGGGGTATATACAAAGGGGATTTCGAGATTTGGAAATAAGTCGTGTAATATTTCGAGGAAAATCGAATGAACCACATCAAAATTAGCACTTTCGAAAGATAATCAATTTTTTTTCGAAATTGTTAAACGAATTCCAATACCATTTAGTAAAATATAACTAAGAGTTTCGGAAAATTCGAACGAAAAATCTTGTTCGAAAAATATGATATTTCTTTTTTCAAATTCTTTTGTCACTTAAGTTTTTACTACAGTTTAGAAATTGACCCGGCCTAACTTCGCCTCACACCCACATGCAATGTTGTTTTATTTCGGGTTGAAAAGTACGAAACATGCAAAAAGTGTAATTAAAGCCTTTCTTTCTACACTTCCCACAAAAAGAATTCCAAACCTAAAAAAGGAATGGGGCGAAGTAGTGAAGAGCACCTAATGTTTAATTTATATATTCTTTCGTATAATTTTTTAAATTTTTTTTATTGATTATAAATTATCATTTAATGTTTATTATAAATTAATAATAAATATATACCTCAACAGCCAATTATTTCATTTCATTCTGTTGTATTATAAGTAGAGGAAGAAAACAGAGTTACATACAGTACATTCGAATTAGGAATTCACAGAGTAAAACAAAAACACCAAAGGCAAAAGACTTGTTTCCCCTCAACTAAAAAAATGGCTTCCATCCCTTCCATCAGTCAGTTCCCCTGTAAATCTCTCCAAACCGGCTCCCACCGCCACTCCAAATTGAGCCCTAGAAACGCCGTTAACCTCGTTAACGGCATCAATTTTCCCGCCATTTCCGTAAGAAGATCGGCGGAGGCGGCGAAGCAGGTTTTCACTGCTCGCGCGGCGGGGGGAGAAGACGAGTTCTGCGAGCCCGATCTGGCTGGAGTGGCGGTTCTGATTGAGCCGCCGCCGCCGCCGGCGAAGAAGCTGACCGAAATTGATGTGCTGAAGAAGCAGCTGTTGGATTCATTGTACGGCACCACCAGGGGGCTCTTCGCCAGCAGCGAAACTAGGGCGGAGATTTTGGAGCTGATCACCCAATTGGAGTGCAAGAACCCTACTCCGGCTCCGACTGAGGCTCTCACCTTGCTCAACGGCAAATGGATCCTTGTGTAAGTTCCCCCCTTCCAATTCTAAAGGTCATTTTCGTCTTTTTTTTCCCCCAACTTGAAATCGTTAAATCATAATTTAAATGCTCTGTAAAAGCGTGGTTTCTAAGATGCTATAATCGCATTGGTTGGTTATTTAATTTGTGTTCCTCTTTGCTATGAGGGAAAACTGCAGTTACACATCACATGTGAATTTGTTTTCTCTGTCAACCACGGTTGGAGCTCTGCCATTGGTTAAGGTCGAAGAGATTTCGCAGACGATCGACTCCGAAAGTTTCACCGTCCAAAGTTCGGTACTCTTCTCCGGACCACTTTCAACCACTGCCATTAGCACCAACTCCAAATTCGAAGTTCGAACTCCCAAACGCGTGCAGGTATATATATATATATATACATCATTTAATTTGCACTCATTCTTGAAAACTAGTGTATATATATATTCATAATTGGTTGTGAAATTGCAGATTAAGATTGAAGAGGGTATTATAGGAACACCACAGTTGATATATTCGGTTGTACTTCCCGAAAACGTGGAGTTATTCGGACAGAATATCGATCTTACACCATTCAAAGAATTGTTCACTTCTGTTCAAGAAACAGCTTCCTCTGTAGCCACCACCATTTCCAGCCAACCACCATTGAAGTTCTCCATCTCGCATAAAGACGCAGAATCGTGGCTCCTTACAACGTACCTCGATGAAGAGCTTCGTATTTCCAGAGAAGATGGCGGGGGTATATTCGTCCTCATCAAAGAAGGCAGCCCCCTTTTGACCCCCTAGACATATTATTATTACTCATCCATGTTTTTCCATAAGATTTTTTTTTTCGATCCATTCTTGCTACAGTTGTGTTATTTATTTGTTGATTCCATGAAGTTTTAAATATATTCAGACATTATATGAATGGAGTGTTTATAATATGTTTAAAAATGTAAAAATAAATCGGTACATACTTGGTGGAATACCTCGAGTATAATGCATCGGAACTCGTTAGAGTTCATGGCCGTGATGTAATAATTCAAGAGTCGACGCAAATCCTTTGGCTCCTCGATTTTGTTCGACACGATAATCTGCTCCATTGGCTCTCTGAAATCTTCTCTGGGATTGTAAGAGGATTTCTCCATTGCCACCATCATTACAACCTTTTCTCCTACCATTGGATCTGCTTTAGTTTGCCGGAAATTATCCGAAATATGTGTGAATTTTCCAGATTCTTCTGAAGTAAAATGTGAGCTCCCAAATAATAGAAGTGTTGTTTATGAAATTAAACACTGAGATTAAAGTGCATATGTCCAAAAGTTGATGCCTGTCTGGATTTGCAATGCTGAAACTTATAAATTGTTTTGTTTATTGCATGGATCTGCCTTTACTTTCCTTTTTTGGAGTGCATTAGGTGGCATACTTTTTTCTAATTATGGCTCAAGTTTAACAACATATGTTTTATTATTTAAAAAAAGTACTCACTACTTCTTGATGTCAAAATGTAAAAAGAAAAAACAGGGCAAAATAAATCGAGTAAATTACGGCCACCCCATGAAGTACTCAGTACTTTTTCTGCTTTCGGTGTAGAGTTGAATGTTTTTTACCGAAAAATTACAACACTTGCCAAAGTTGCCAAAAAAGACATGATATCTTACCCCTCTTCGTAAAATTCCGTCCCTCAAAAGATAAAAGAAAATCCCATATGTTCGTAAGAAAAACGGACGAAATATAATTCAACATCAAATTAAATCTCTCGGAATGAATGAGCTCTAAGATTTTGATATCTGAATCCAGGAATTTCATCTTCATTCATCTCGTGGTGGTTAACGTCAACCACAGAGCAAACCCCGCTATTCCTTATCTTCTTTCTTCTCCAAAAAGCCTTTAACGAAAACCTGAAGAAACTAGTCGGCCATGATTTGCGTCGTCCTCCTCTCGAAGCAATTTCATCGAAGCTTCTTTCGGAACTCGTTCGACTACTCTCAACACGTTCGACTTCGAATTCTCTAAAGTACTCGATCTCTTTCTTCACCAGTGATCCTACGGTTCCACGCGTACCGATCTCCAACGGGGTGTTTCCATTTGCAGCCATGCTATTCAGCACTTCTTACTGGATGTTTTGTACTTCTCTGTATGTATATTTAACATATAAATAGCTTCTTGTCTTGCCTTCTAATGCACTACACATATTGACAGTTTTTTTTGTTTAATCATATAAAGGTGACCGCGTGGGGTTTTGCATGATTATGTGTGATGTAGATGTGATTACAGTAAGAATCAAATAATTATGTCTTCCTAAACCACTATACAATTTAATTAATTGCCGGCCAAATTAATTTATATTTTACCTACCATGTTTTATTAATCAGTAGGATAAATTACGACCACTCCTAAGCTACATCAAATTACAAAAAAAATTATCCTGTTTGGGTAATTACAATTACCATCCTCAATTATTAATCTTCTTACACGTTCACTTTTATGGTGTTAAATTCAACAAAATCTTCTACATTTTGTGGAATGTTCTCTAGTTTGTACTATAGGAAGAATAGAATAGGAGAAGGAGAGAAATATAGAATAGAAACCCCCATTGTGTTATGGGATGATTACATGGAATATATATAGAGAAATATTGCAAGGTAATAGAGTTTGACTAGGTAATTAAATCCTAACTAATCTAGGTAACCGAATCATATTAGAATCCTAATATTAGGAGAGTTCTATAATATAATATTCTCTAACACGCCCCCGCAGTCGAAACGTGACGAACGTGAAGACTGGACATTCACTTGCTAGCACGCTCCCGCAGTCGGAACGAATAACCTTCAAAACGAATAAACTTCAAACGTGAAGACTGGAAATTTCAAACGTGAAGACTGGACAGAAACCGCGAAACACATCGCTAGAGAATTCCTCTGTTGAAATATCTGCCAAATTGATAAAACAAAAAAAAAAAATAATAATAATAACGGGTGAGGGAAAATAAGCAACTTTTTTTTTTTTTTTTTTTTTTTTTTTATTATTATTAAGATAGAGAGAAGAGAAGAGATGAGATAGGGGGGAGAAGATCGGGTGGTATTCGCCTGCCATGGAGAAGAGAAGAGGCGGCGGCTAGGTTGTAGACCATGGAGAAGAAAAGAGGAAGAAGAAGAAGACAGAGATAGAGAAGATGCACCACCATATAGGAAGAAGATAGATAGAGAGAAGAGTACCACCACCGGGAGGGAGATAATTGGTTTGGTGGTCGCCGGCCATCGAGAAGAAGAGAGGCAGCGGCTAGGTTTTAGGCCATAGGCCATGGAGAAGAAGAAGAAGAAGAAGAAGAAGTAGAAGAAAAAGAAAAAGAACCACCGGGGGAGGGAGAAAATTTGGTGGTGTTCATAGAAAAGATAGAAGAAGAAAGATATTAAGAGTACCACCACCGGGGGGAGGGAGAAAATCGGGTGGTCACCGCCATGGAGAAGAAAGGCGGCTAGGTTAAAAAACCTGGCGCTCTGATACCATATAAGAAGAATAGAAGAAGGAGAAAGAGAGAAATAATAATACGTAATAGAATAGAAACCCCCCATTGTGTTATGGGATGATTACATGGAATATATATAGAGAAATATTGCAAGGTAATAGAGTTTGACTAGGTAACTAAATCCTAACTAATCTAGGTAACCGAATCATACTAGAATCCTAATATTAGGAGAGTTCTATAATATAATATTCTCTAACATGTACTTATGTTTGTGCAAAAATTCAGTATGCGATGCACCACAATTTGATATTTACAAGCCAAAAGACACATCTTGTTTCAAAATATGGAGCTCGAATGAGATAAAATGAGTACAAACTGAAGAACATTTCACATAATCCAGAAGATTCCAATAAATTTGACACTGAAAGAGTAGACACATAAAAAGAGAGAGGATGACTGTAATTACCAAAAAAATGAGGGGTTTTTTCGTAATTTGATCTTACCTGCCTGTAATTTTTACCCAAATAAATATTCGAATATACTTTATTTAGTGGCCTTTTCAGAATCCACCTTGAGCCCAAAGGCAAGGAAGGCCCAGTCCAGCCTCAACAAAATTGATATTCGAATATTCTTTATTTTCGGCATCTCCGTTTTGGAAGGAGCCTCCAAGGACATATTTACCCCCAGAATATAATTAATTATCATAAACTTTTTTTCTTGATGAAATTTAATTATATATTAAACTAAAATCGAGAGGAAAACAAATACCACAAAGCCACTGAGTGAAGCCTCTTCCGCAAGATCTGAGGTTTTAGTCACTCCCAAGTAGAGTGTGCGTAAGAACATCTACTCTCCGATGGCGGCTGCTACATTGGTTTCTAACGGCGACCACGCCGCCTTCAAAACTCCGTCCGCCGGCCGACAAGCCGCTGTTTACAGCGAAGTACAGAACAGCCGTCTCGATCATCCCCTCCCCTTGCCTTCCGTCCTCAAAAACTCCTTCAAAGTCGTCGACGGTCCACCTAGCTCCGCCGCCGGCAATCCAGGTATACATACAAATATACACGAGTGACAAGTTTCATGGCGATTGCACACGTGCTTCTATGAAATGTTCAGTTTATTTGCGGAGTGCGCACATTTTCCTGATCTGGTTGTTGCTGGAGTTTTTCCGAATAATTGTTTACATTCAGTAATGAACATCGCTTGATTTCAGATAGTTTATCGTCGGTTTCTTTCAGGAGATTTACTGACGTGATTTTGAAAAATAAATAAATTATTAGGACTTGTTTCCGGTGCATTGTATTTCGATGCTTGAAATTGGATCTTAAAATTGAAGTCCAGTAGGATTCCAATTCAAGTTTCTATAGATTTATTACAACTTCGACGATCTGAGCCTGCTAAACGCAGCCATCGACTAGCTTAAGATAATCATAAAATCGTCTCGTATAGTTCAATTGAGTTGAGTTCCTCCATTTTAATATCAACTTGTGAAGGAATTAATTGTATCTCGTTTGTGCTCGACTGCAAAGCAAACTCTGATTCTTAGGATAGCAATATAATTGATGTTCAGCAAAAGTTCTGAGGTTTTAGAATTTAGAATTTAGAATTTAGAACTATTTATTTGTTTTCTTAATCTTCGAATTGGATTGAGACAAATGCTTGTCGTGTTTTTACATACAATGGATAGTATTTATACTTAAATGTCCCTCTGACTCCTATTTCTTACCGTAAACTGAGCAGTTTTCAGATATGCTATTAGTCTAGTGGTTGACCTAAGACAGACTCTATTAGGTACCAGTTAGGACTTACGAGTGTTTGAACATGCATATGAGATAAATTTGAGTTGTCGCCTAAAAACGCAGATGAGATTGCAAAGTTGTTTCCTAGCCTCTTTGGACAACCATCAGCAAACTTGGTACCGGGTGATTCCACGGATAATTCGTTGAGTAAGAGTTTGAAGATTGGGGTGGTCCTATCTGGAGGACAAGCTCCCGGGGGACACAATGTTATTTCTGGAATTTTCGGTTAGTGATTTCGTTTTTTCATCAAATTTATGTGATGAAATATGTGTATATCTAACTTGTAGATGTATATGTATTGTAGATTACTTACAGGATCGTTGCAAAGGGAGCACATTATATGGATTCAGGGGTGGACCAGCTGGAATAATGAAGGGCAAGTATGTAGTATTGACCCCAGAGTTTATCTATCCCTACAGAAATCAGGTCAGCTCACTTTCTCAACTGAAATCCATTTCGTTTGAACATTGATAGTGGTTTAGCTTGTGATGCTTTATCTCGCTCATGCTATGAGATGTGGTACTTATAATATATCTTTCAGGGTGGGTTCGATATGATATGCAGTGGTAGAGACAAAATCGAGACCCCAGAGCAGGTATACATTCGATATGATGCATACTTGTACTATGCCTACATATTTCTTTATGTTAAAATTGACTGACGTTTTGTCATCGTATTTCAGTTTAAGCAAGCTGAAGACACATCTGTGAAGCTTGATTTAGATGGTCTTGTTGTAATTGGTGGGGACGACTCAAACACAAATGCCTGCCTTTTGGCTGAAAATTTTAGGTATGTGTCTATTTTATGGATAGTTGCTATTATCTTCGAAGTTCCTCTTTGTCATTGTATGTTTAAGTCGTTGATTTAACATGCTTTTCTCCTTCCATGCAATCATTAAATTCTCCAGGAGTAAAAAATTGAAAACAAGCGTCATTGGGTGTCCGAAGACCATTGATGGTGATCTGAAAAGCAAGGAAGTGCCCATAAGTTTTGGGTTCGATACTGCATGCAAGGTAATTTATGTACTGCTTCAGTATACTCGTGGCACGCTATTTTAGCTCATGTATGTTCTTTAGCAGATATCTTTCCTGTTTGCCATTTTGTATTTCAGGAATATCTCCAGTTTATATGATTCCACATGTATATTTCCTTTAATAAAAGGACGTTAATTTTCGTCAGTGTGAAAAAGAAACATATCTTACAATTTGGTGTTCAAATACTTTCTGCAGATATATGCTGAAATGATTGGTAATGTCATGATAGATGCTCGTTCAACTGGAAAATACTATCATTGTAAGTAATTGAATTTCTAAGTGTAGTTCTCTCAGTCTATTTTTCCTTCTATTTTGGTTGGTACCCTGTGCAAATACAGGTGCAGACATTTCCCCTGCAGCTTATTAGAGAGATAGAATGTCGTAAATTTGTAAACAAATTCATTTGCTGCATTTGAATTGGAGAAAAGCTGCTCTTCTAAATCTCTCTGCCGAGAGAACTTTTTGTTTCACCTTACATTTCTAATAAGTCAGCAGCTTCTAGATGTTACAGTTTAACAATGATACTGTTGTAGCTTTCTACTTACTTATCAACAATGACGTCAGGTAAGTATCTCATTTTATGCAGTTGTTCGACTTATGGGACGTGCCGCTTCTCATATCACGTTAGAATGCGCGTTGCAAACTCATCCAAATATTACTCTTATTGGAGAAGAGGTACAATTTACGGATTATATGATTCACCTTCCTAACATATCTAGTGTCATCATAATGCGTATTACTATATCGCAAATGGGATCGACTTTGGTCAGTTTGAAATACCTTTTTCCATTCACTCCTATGACAATTTGGACTTCTCAAACCCGTCTTTACTGATTTACCTCAAAGACTTTGGAATTATATATATCAATCTATTTAGAGTTTGATTTATAGATAATCCTATTGTATAACTAAATAAATTAATCATAAAATGTGTATGGCTAAAAGTTTCTTCTCAATACTCTTGGATTCCCCAGACATTTGTTTCAGTTGATGAGTTCAATGTTGCTGCAGGTTGCTGAAAAGAAGCAGACCCTTAAAAATGTCACAGACTACATTGCCGATGTGATCTGCAAACGTGCAGAGCTGGGTTACAACTATGGTGTCATACTCATTCCCGAAGGACTTATTGATTTCATTCCAGAGGTCATTCTTTTCATCGTTTGTCGCTTTTCTATACCACCATCATCTCACGATTCACTAATCAGCACAAACTATTTTCTCTGTAGAACTTTGTTATACTGCTTTGGTATGGTACTAATTTTCAATTTTGCTCATTGTAGAATATACTGATTTGCATTTGATTGCAGGTTCAGCTGCTCATCTCCGAATTAAACGAGATTTTGGCCCATGAAGTTGTGGATGAAGCTGGTGTTTGGAAAAAGAAACTCACCCCTTCCTCTCTCCAGCTTTTTGATCTCTTACCCTCAGCAATCCAGGATCAATTGATGCTTGAGAGAGATCCCCATGGAAATGTCCAGGTACGTGTCAAGTTATTCTTAAATTTTAGTTTCCCACATATATATATATTTTTTTTATCATTTTTTAAATTTGTCCATGCGCGCAGGTTGCCAAAATTGAAACTGAGAAAATGCTTATTCAAATGGTTGAAACTGAGTTGGAGTTGAGGAAACAAATTGCTGCATACAAGGGTCAATTCAAAGGGCAGTCTCACTTTTTCGGGTAATTTATAAGGCCAATTTAAAAAATTAAAAAAACAACGATTTGTATTTTTCCCTCATCTCAATTTTGATGTCTCAGGTATGAGGGAAGATGTGGGTTACCATCTAATTTTGATTCCACATACTGCTATGCTTTAGGTTACGCCGCTGGTGCGCTACTTAATACTGGGAAATCGGGATTAATATCCTCGGTTTGTGCTTCCACTTCCAGTTCTCCGTAAATTTGATAAAGTCCATTTTTTTTCTTGCAATCTGCTTTAATTAATTTGTTTTCCTATGTTTTCGTTTACTTGCAGGTGGGTAACTTGGCTGCTCCAGTGTCTGAATGGACTGTTGGTGGAACTCCGTTGACTTCCCTAATGGACGTCGAAAGGAGGCACGGTATGCATTTATTTCCATCTTATGATAGTTGTTATTGCTGTTTCACCCTATCCTAAAATTAAGATTCAAATGTTTGCAAATTGTCCAAACTTTATCTTATTATTATCATTATTATCCTTCCTTAACTTGAAACTACATTTTATAATGCAGGTAAGTTCAAGCCTGTGATAAAGAAGGCAATGGTTGAGCTCGAAGGTCAGAATATCTTTATTCACACTCTTCCAATTTCCCTTCTACGTTTATATAGGAATTCGAATATCTCAATGTTTTAGTGTATTGATGCTCGTTTCAGGTGCCCCATTCAAGAAATTTGTATCCATGCGGGAAGAGTGGGCTCTAAAAAACCGATATTTGAATCCCGGTACAGTTTTATTTTGTTTGTATCCATTGTGTATACTGCTTCGATTAATTCATCTTATTATTCTCCCAAATGTGCAGGTCCCATTCAATTTGTCGGCCCAGCATCTGATAATCTCAATCACACCTTACTGCTGGAACTCGGAGCTCAAGTATGAATGTGAGTGCATTTGCTCTTCCTTTTGCGACCCTTATTACAAATTTGTTTGAGTTTTTTTAATCCTAGAGATAATCTCGACTCACATCGCCACTTTTATTTTTTCTGAAAATGTAACTTATGTTTATGACCTTTTAATTGGACTAATAAATGAAATAAAATCAATCTTTGAACATTCGGTGCAAATTCAGAAATCAAACTTTAGATCCTCAAACGACACGGTGTAGTAATCGAGTTATTAGGCTTACATTTTTCACCTTTGTTTGAATGAAAATACGGTACCCTAGTTATTCGGAAATTAGATGCATTTTTACACTGGTTATTTTACATTGGGTGAATTTGAGTCGTTGATCTCCACACGATCACACACACATCCAAGTGTATGTGTACTTAGTGTGAAGTTATTTAATCAAATTTATCGTTTAACCGTTTTATCACCTTGGTATATTATTTATTTTTAATTATTATTATTAGTATTATAGGATAAGATTTTCCTATTTTAACTGTCTATATAGATTTTACCTATCTATATATGTCACTGGTAGGATCAGTAAAGAAAAAAGAATTGGCAATTTTTCTTCGATTCCAAAAGCTTGACGCCTTTTGGCCATCTCTTTAACTCTAAAAGTACTTAATAAATTGACTTTACATCAGAAACTCCGACAATCACGTGCTCCATTATTTGTATTCTTATATATAACCTTTCCCCAAGAAAATATATTATGATATAGATTTAACAAGAGTAAAAGTCGTGTTTCTTGATCAAAGTTGGAAGCAAACTTGTCGTTCATGTATGTACGCACGACTTATCTCCAGTCTTCATCTGAGTACCATTATTGACACGTTGATTTATTCATATTTCGAAAAAACACGTCAACAAAAGTAGATAATGCATCATCACATTCACATGGCAACCCAAATGAAATAGCTTAGGAAATATAACTATGGATTTAAAGACAACCTCGAAGGAACGAAAGTTCTACGGTCCACAATGCTGCATCATTAATTACTTTATAAAAAGAATAAACTGCATCAAAGATCGAGTTATTTTCGAAAATCGAGTTATTTATTAAATATATAAAATAAATAAATTTCTGCATATATATAATGAAATTAAATAGAGTGTTGACAGTTGAGGGTTTGGGACCAGGCTAGTTTATGTGACTGCCAACCTATAGACAATAGTATCCTAGTGTTAGCCTTAGCCACTGCCATTCATAGATATGATGATATATAGAAAGTTTTGGAACAATCTTTAAACTATATACGAGCCTCTGTTTTTTAGTGTGATGGTGATGCTTCTGCAGCTAAGCTAGTAGCTACTCTATATTTTTACTATTTCCCTTTTTTTTTTGCTTAATTAATATTTAATCATTGCATTTTCTTCTTATTAAATATTAATTAATTACTCTAGTTTAACTAGCCATTCACTTTCATAGGTGGGGGATTACCTCATGATTGATTGGTTGTTGTCGCGTTTAAACTTAATAACACTTTCAAGTTCCAATGGTAAAAACGTCACTTCTCTCTCAATCAATTGTCACCTAAAAATTATTTTTAATTATTTTTTTTGTGTGTGGTCATAAATTTTTTTTTTCATTTTTTTTTAATCTACATATATGTGTAGGTCCAACCTTCACATGGGATTAAGTTAGTGGAGGCATAATAACCTTGGATTTCACTTTGCACGACTGACATCATGGGATGCATTTTTAACTAACGTATAGAATATAAATAAAAGTCAAAATCATCCATAATAATTTCAGCCTTACCCCTAATTTTACAATTAACAAGATTAATTAATTATTAGCAAAATATATTTACTCATTTAGCACAGTAGGAGGTGGGATGCACTCTAGTCTAGGTCTAGTGGCTCAACCCTTTTTAGATATTTATTACATCAATATAGTAATTTCAAAGTGATAATGCAACAATTATCACAACCGACCATTATTCATTACATGGACCACCAAAAAGTGGCACATAAATAATACATGCAGTGTTGCATAAATGAAGCCAACGACACTTTTGGTGAAATTATAGGGCTGGATATGGGTCGGGTCGGATAATTATCGGTAATTACTCTCTGATTCGACTATCCGATTTTTGCTGAATATTGAAAATTATTATCGATCCGATAATTATGGGTCGGGTAATAGTTGACAACTAACTTTGTCGGGTAAACAATGGGTCAGTTGGTTTGTATTATTGGTTATCGGCCAAGAAAAGTGGATCGATTGACCGATAAATCCGACCCATGCATCTGTCCTATGTGAAAATATTAAAAGGTTAAAATTTTAAAGCTTACAACTTCAATTAAATTCATCCAATACAAAACTAACGATAAAGTTAATAATTATTTAACAAAAAAATATTAACCCCTGAAGAAAGGAAATAATTGCACAAAAATAAAAGAATAGGAAGATGCCAATATGGCACGTGGCTGTTGCTATCATAAAACGGGGGCCTGTTTGGTGTAGGGAGGGGGGCCATAAAAAATGAATTAACAAATTGAGGCTGGTTTTTTTGCCTTCACATTAGTACAGTTCTAGATGAATTAATTAGCTAGTAATTACAAAACAAACACAATCAAACAAATTAAAAAATAATCTTCTACGAAACTCCAAATTGGGATTAATGTGTCCGTTTGGTTAGGGGTGCACCCCACCACCCAAACACCAGCAATTAAATATATTTGCATGAACAGCACCCAAACAGGCCCCCCGCCTAAGCTGTCACTTTGGACATTCTTATTTATCATCTTATGTTTTCTTCCATCTTATACATCTCTGTACTTTATTCCTACACTAACAATCAAATTAGTTTTTGGAATATACCGATATATATATATATATTGGTGGGGTGAAGTTTTGACTACAAACTTTTAAGTATAGATATCTCGTGAGTAAATTGCAAATACCACCCCTGTGAAATCTCTAATTGTCAAATACCCCCCTGTCAAAAAAAATTCGCTCATACCCCCTTGTGTAATACTTTTCGAAGCTCACCGCACCCATTATCATTTTAATGGTTGACCGAAGGTAAAAAGACAAGTATACCCCTAAGTAGTATAACATAAAATTATATTAATTTAAGAGGCTAAATTGGAATTTTGTTAAACTTTTCAAACTTAATTTAGGGGACTAAATTGCAATTTCCAAAACCCATTCTCATTCCCCTTTCTGCAACTTTGCCCAGCCGCAGCACCAAATCCCCACTCTTCCTCTCAATTTCCACCATACTTATCATTCACCGTCGCCGCTCACCACGCACCACCACACCCATCCATATTTGGCACACGTTCTTTCCTGTCCCGCTATTCCTTGGTCGAGAAGCACAACAATAACACCTTTTCATTTTACCCTAAGCCGAAGCTTCTTATTTATTGATCTTGCCCAGCGTTCCATCATTCAAGCTCCGATTTTTTTGGTTGCGGCGTAGAAGCTCGCGGCTTGATCGATTTTGTCGATTTCTGATAGAGGGTCTATAGATGGTTGTGTATTGCGTTTTTGCAGGTCTAAAAATGGTGGCGGGTCCGACGATGTTGTTGTTGAAGTATGAGGGAGAACTGGAGTGGGGATGGGCCGAGGTTTGGACTCGCTTCTCCCAATTGAGGGCGTTCGTGGCGGAGGTGCAGCGGTGGGCAGCAGTGGGGACGATGAAGAATGAAGAAGAGGGAAGGAAAAGGAGCTTGGGGACATTTTTGATATTTCACAGTCGAAAATTAAGAAAAAATCGCAGCAGTAGCGCGTGAGAGACACGATTTGCTCTCAGGGGTCTCAATGCCTTGACTTTGTATACACAGGGGGGTATGGGCGAATTTTTTTTTGACAGGGGGGTATTTGACAATTAGAGATTTCACAGGAGTGGTATTTGCAATTTACTCGATATCTCGTTGGTCAAATTTCCTAAATATCGAAAATGTTAATAAGATTGAAACAAATTATCCAATTTTTGTAGATGCTGCTACACCCGATTAAATACACCGCTTGATTTTAAGCAATTAATCCACAAATAATAATACACATATCCATATGTATGCGGCTTAGTTTTTATATAAATTTACGGTTCTTGGTATTTGTTACACCAAGTGCAGCATCTCATAGACTATACAATATTAATAATCAAGTGTTTGAAAATATGGATTGTGCATAATAATTCATTTGAAATATTTATTCTCTAGGTTTGACTATTTTCTTGTATGAAATATAGTAGTTCAAGACTTGTGCAAATGAATTGACATCACTTGTTTATGAATGATATATGCATCAAACCTAACACCAATAAACAGTGTTGCCCACTAATTATTATTCCATTTTCATCATAAAATATAAATTGTTTTCTCCTATGAATTATGAATTATGAATTATGAGCAATAATCCTTATCCAACCACAACACTGTTCTGCTGCATTTCACAAGTGCAAAGGATCTGCGAATAAATTGGCTTTAATTTGGAATTTATTATATATGGTCAGTTTTGAAATGAATATCTCATAGTACTTCGACCCACTTTTATTCTTTTCTTTCATCAAATCATCAATTTTAATTTATTTTTTTCTTGCAGCAGTACTGAATTTGGATGGAATCATTATTACATTGTCGACTTCGATACCTTCTGAGATTTACTACTATTTAGTAGTGTTTGGTCTGAATATGTACTGTTTATTTTACAAAACAATTAAATAAACTCATGGCAAACTTTTTACTACAATTGGAAAAGAAAAAAAAAATTAATGCCAACTTTAAAATATACTCAATTCAAATCAGGCAATTGATTTGTTGCAAAAAAACTATATTTCAAAGGTGCAAAGTGAGATTTAAGGCCTTTACAAACATACTTGAGGGGTTATTTGTAATTTACTATCCTTTAGGTAAGATTGTTAGAATTAATCCTACATTTTGATGAAAAGGTGGACAAGGAGAGTACGAATCTGTGTCTAGATTTACTCTAATGAATTGCTCCTTTCACATATAAAAGTACATGTTTTTTAATCCCTATACCTACTGCACATGTTTACACCACGTTACCACCATACATCTCACATTATCACATTAATTTATTCACCATAAAAATAACCTTAATATTATGAATATATATATATATATATATATATTATCTGCAAAAAAGAATAATAAATTGTGATGATTAAAAGATAATAAATTATGAAAGTATTT